ACACACACACACACACACACACACACCTAATACATTCTCACAATCCAGTCATACTCTTTTACCCTTATTTCCTGAATTCTAACATCTCTCAGTCAGTATTATCCACACATTATGCAACTCTCTCCAGTCGTCGGTTGAAATTCTCCTCTCTCCCTTAAACTTTTAACTGCCGTTTTAACAGAATAGAAGTCAAAAAGATTTGAGTGTGACTGCCCTGGTCTCATTCACTGTGCCCCAGACAAACACACACACATACAGTCTCACATCTGCTAGTTTCTAGAAGTAGCTGTAAGTTATTCCGTGTCTGTCTGTCTGTCCAGAAGAGTTGTGAAGGCCTTTAGAACAGAATAACAGGCTGTAAAGATGGCTGTTCTGCCGTTCTTTCTTCAGCGTTTTAAATGGCCACAGCACAGAATGGCCTCAGAAGAGTTTGAGTGTCAGTCTGTGTTGTTAGTTTTAAAACCTCCAAGCTGTTCCCCTTCCCCTCCTCAGTCCGTCCAGACCTCTCTTTGTGCCGACGCAGCGCTGTCCGCGTTTCATTTTCTTCCTGGGTGACACCCTAGATTCCAGACATAGTTAATTTGCCTCTAAATAAACCCAGCCAAGCCATGACAAATAGCTAAGGGGACGAAGGCTTGGGAGGGAGGGGGGGTGGTGTGAGGCGCGTGATTGGTGGGGTGTCAGGGCTTGCTCGTTCGTCTGTGAGGTTTCCAGGGCAACAGGGATTCAGAGAGAGTGTTTTCAGAGCAGGAGACGAGGGATTACAGGAAATATGACATGACATTCTCTCTGGACCAGATCCCCCTCTACACCCCACCCATACCCTCCAAAAGACATTCTCTCTCCAACAGAATCCCCCCAACCCCCGCCTTCCCTTCCCACAACCATCCACATCCCCCGGCCAGCTCCGCCCCCTCCTTTCCACAGCCTGACTGACAGTGACCTTTGACATCTGACCTACCAGCGTGTGAGTGGGTTCATAGGGAAAGCCAGGCCTATGTTGCAGGAGCTTTGGGACACGGACGAGTAGCCGTGGAAACTAAGCGAGCCAGACGCGAGCGACAGATAAAGACAGCAGAGAGAGAGAGACGATCTGAGATGAGAGATCTTAGAGAGCCAAGCGCGACAGTCTCAGACGAGAGTCTCGAGCGGAGCCGAGAGAGATCGCTATGCTCTCTATCTTCACTCTCTCTCTATCTCTCTCATCTCTCTATATCTCTTCTCTCTCTCTCTCTCTCTCTCTCCTCTCTCTCTCTCTATCCTCTCTCTCTCTCTCTCCTCGTCTCCCTCCTTCTCTCGTCGGCTGCATATTGATGTGGGTATGCCGGCCTCTCCGTGCTGAGCCCTGTTGCTTCTCGGTCTCGCCATTGTCATGGCAGGTATAAAAAAAAAACTCAGAACACTGAGCAGTCTTGTTTTTAGGAAGCAGAGCAGAGCAGCCAGTGGAATACAGTGTAATAGACACAGAGACAGAGAGCAGTCCGGCTCAGTATTCAGCACACAGAGCCTGGTAACCCACAAGAAGAGTGCCCCCTATGGTTCAGTACAGCTCCTCCTCTCCCTGCACTAGCCTCAGGCCCCCCAGTCAGAGAGCAGAGTCATAAAAGCAGATTGAGGGAGGAGAGAGAGAGAGAGAGAGAGAGAGAGAGAGAGAGAGTAGGCCACAAAAGAAGCACAAAAAGTAACAGAGAGGATCTACCTCGGTCGATGTAATGGCGGCCCTCCTGCAAACAAGACGAGAAGAGGAAAAGCCATTGTTGTTTTCTGCCCGGGGGTTATTTTACAGGGAAAGATGAGAGCGGGCCCCGAGGGAGGGCCAGCGCAGCCATTACCTGCCCGTAACTCAAACACTGTGAAGTGGGAGCCAATCCCGTACCCTATCCACGTACTGGTCCTGTCCTGATGTACGGTACCACCATACCGACCGAGAAGATCACTAACCGACCGACCACCGAACCTGACGAGCTACGACCGATACCGACCGACCGACGACAGACAGAACCGACCGACCGACCGACCGACCGACCGACGACCGAGACCGACCGACCGAACAACCGAACGACCGACCGACCGACCGACCGAGAGAGCGACCGACCACACCGACCGACCGACCACCGACGAGACCGACCACCAGACCGACCGACGAAGACGACCACACGACCGACCTACGACCGACTCGACACAGACACGACCGATACACCACCGACCACAACCGACACACCGACTACGCGAAAGCGACCGTACGACCACCACGACCGACCGACCGACCTACCGACACCGACCGACCACCTACCAACCGACCGACCACCTGACCTACCTACTACCTATATACCTCTACTATAGATACTAATATCTACCTATCAACCTACCGACCTACCTACCTATATATCTACCTATATATCTACCTACCGAACTACCTACCTACCTACCTATATATCTACCTATCTACCTACCTACCTATATATCTACCTATCTACCTATATATCTACCTACCTACTTACCTACCTACCTATATATCTACCTACCTACCTACCTACAGTGGGGAGAACAAGTATTTGATACACTGCCGATTTTGCAGGTTTTCCTACTTACAAAGCATGTAGAGGTCTGTAATTTTTATCATAGGTACACTTAAACTGTGAGAGACGGAATCTAAAACAAAAATCCAGAAAATCCCATTGTATGATTTTTAAGTAATTAATTTGCATTTTATTGCATGACATAAGTATTTGATCACCTACCAACCAGTAAGAATTCCGGCTCTCACAGACCTGTTAGTTTTTCTTGAAGAAGCCCTCCTGTTCTCCACTCATTGCCTGAATTAACTGCACCTGTTTGAACTCGTTACCTGTATAAAAGACACCTGTCCACACACTCAATCAAACAGACTCCAACCTCTCCACAATGGCCAAGACCAGAGAGTTGTGTAAGGACATCAGGGATAAAATTGTAGACCTGCACAAGGCTGGGATGGGCTACAGGACAATAGGCAAGCAGCTTGGTGAGAAGGAAACAACTGTTGGCGCAATTATTAGAAAATGGAAGAAGTTCAAGATGACGGTCAATCACCCTCGGTCTGGGGCTCCATGCAAGATCTCACCTCGTGGGGCATCAATGATCATGAGGAAGGTGAGGGATCAGCCCAGAACTACACGGCAGGACCTGGTCAATGACCTGAAGAGAGCTGGGACCACAGTCTCAAAGAAAACCATTAGTAACACACTACGCCGTCATGGATTAAAATCCTGCAGTGCACGCAAGGTCCCCCTGCTCAAGCCAGCGCATGTCCAGGCCCGTCTGAAGTTTGCCAATGACCATCTGGATGATCCAGAGGAGGAATGGGAGAAGGTCATGTGGTCTGATGAGACAAAAATAGAGCTTTTTGGTCTAAACTCCACTCGCCGTGTTTGGAGGAAGAAGAAGGATGAGTACAACCCCAAGAACACCATCCCAACAGTGAAGCATGGAGGTGGAAACATCATTTTTTGGGGATGCTTTTCTGCAAAGGGGACAGGACGACTGCACCGTATTGAGGGGAGGATGGATTGGGCCATGTACCTACCTACCTACCTACCTACCTACCTACCTATATATCTACCTATATATCTACCTATCTACCTACCTACCTATATATCAACCTATATATCTACCTACCTACCTACCTACCTACCTACCTACCTACCTACCTATATATCTACCTATCTACCTACCTACCTACCTACCTACCTACCTATATATCTACATATCTACCTACCTACCTATATATCTACCTATATATCTACCAGCTACCTACCTACCTACCTATATATCTACCTACCTACCTATCTGCGCACAAATGTTCTATAGGATTGAGGTCAGGGCTTTGTGATGGCCACTCCAATACCTTGACTTTGTTGTCCTTAAGCCATTTTGCCACAACTTTGGAAGTATGCCTGGGGTCATTGTCCATTTGGAAGACCCATTTGCGACCAAGCTTTAACTTCCTGACTGATGTCTTGAGATGTTGCTTCAATATATGAACATAATTTTCCTTCCTCATGATGCCATCTATTTTGTGAAGTGCACCAGTCCCTCCTGCAGCAAAGCACTCCCACAGCACCCCTGGAGTAGGCCACAGGAAACCTGTTGTTTACCTCGCCCTACCTGCACACTTTTAGGTCAGGTTGTAGTCGTCCATTAAGATGGTTACTGGAAAACAACAACTAGGAAGAGGTCCAGGAAGCAGAGCCATTTATTTCTCACCTAGTCTTTACAATCGTTCCAAAGCAGCTCTCAGAGTCAGTGAAATGTTGTTGTTTTAGTGGTGTCCTGGTTCCTAATGTCTGCATCTCTCATAGGTCAGCTATGTCACAGGTGGTCTAACGTTGTTGACAAGCTTTCGTAAACTGCTGGTTTTGGGCGTGCTTGTTTTAACGTACGAGGGGAAAAGTGAGAGCTGAAGTGCGGAAAAATAGTAATGGTGGAAGAATGTGAACTGGCATGGAGAGAGTGATGCTTTCCAGCTGGGAACAACAGAGGGAGAGGAAAATGGAGAGAGTGCATGTCTTGTCTTTTTCAGACAAGAGAGAAAGACAAAGAGTGATGGCTTACATCTGTTTCCGAATTAGAAATAGTGTGTGGGAGGGTGTGTAATGTGTGTGTGTGCTTGCTTTGTGTGTGTGTGGGAGGGTGTGTAATGTGTGTGTGTGCTTGCTTTGTGTGTGTGTGGGAGGGTGTGTAATGTGTGTGTGTGCTTGCTTTGTGTGTGTGTGTGCAATATAAATAATCTGACTGAATTGAACCCACCCAGTCCAGGGCCAAGGGGACTGACTCCTTCCAGGGTGTGAGTCAGAGTCAGGGGCGCCTGCCAAGGTGTCTGTCAGGTGGTGGGGGTAGGAACATGGTGGGAACGGGGTTGCCTGCCTTGCTTTTGGCTGGAAATCACACTGATGGTCTGCTGTCACTCTGTCTGTCAGTCTAACCTAGGGTCTAACAAGCTGTGTTCCGTTTTTCTGTCCAGATGTCGGCCGGGGTACATCGGGCCTCTGTGCCAAAGCCTGGACCCCTGTCACCGGTCGCCATGTCTCAACGGAGCCGCCTGCAAGAGCCAGGTGGCCAACGGAATCCCACAATTCACCTGTGTGTGCCAGAGAGGGTTCAGAGGTACATCTGTCTGTCTGTCCATGTGGATTAGTGTTTACTTAGAGAGTGGTGTGGGAAAGAGCTGATCTGTGCATATTTATGTACAGTATGCAAGTACAATGACGAGAGGCAGTTGAAGGCTCATGCATGCTTATAACAAGTTATAAAGCATATATTAGGTTTAGGTGTTACCTAAAATGTTCATAATGAGACATTGCACCCCTTATATATCTACAGGTCAAGACTGCTCCCTCATAGACGCCTGTGCCACCAGCCCCTGTGCCAATGGTGCCCGCTGTGCCAATTGGAATAACCACTACAACTGTTCCTGCCCGCCCGGGTTCCAGGGGAAGAACTGCCGCAACGATATCGATGAGTGCCGCAAGCCTGGCGTCTGTCTCAACGCAGGCCTCTGCATGAACACCCATGGTTCCTTCCGCTGCCAGTGCCCACCTGGGTACAGCGGGCGCACCTGCGAGGTGTCCTCCCTGCCCTGCGCCCCCTCCCAGTGCATCAACGGGGGCACCTGCCGCCCGACCGGAGATCACACCTACGACTGTGCCTGCCTGCCAGGTAAACTGATTGGCTCATAAACTGACCCCCACACACAAACACACACACACAGTGCCTCAACACAGACCCCAGAGCCCCACCAGTCACCGTGAACCCCAGGTCTTTCCCAGGGTTTCCCAGGCAGGCTGTGTGACGTAGCTGCCAGTGCTGCATCCTGGTGGGATGTGGGATCTACTCCCCTGTCTTTCCCATTTTCCCAGGTCATGCCTCTCTCTCTCTCTCGCTCTCTCTCTCTCTCTCTGGCTGCTATTAATAGCTTGTTGACGGGACGGGGGACTAACAGGGGTGGGAGAGGAGAGTGGGCCGCTGCTCTACTCCAAACTGCTTCCTTCAGGAGGAATTTACTTCATGGCCCTTCTGGCTTCCCTCCTGGGAGCTGACAGGAAATGTCTCTGGGCCGGAGAGGAAGTCATTGAAACTGTGAGAGATTATAAAACAAGCAAACATGGCAGAGAGTAGTGGACCTCTGGAGCGCAGCACAGCGCTGTGTGTCAGCCCGGTGGTGTCAGGGCCCTCCCTGGTGCTCTGCTGCTGCCTACTGTGGGAAACACCACGCCATGAGAACATGTAAACACTTAGACGCCCACTGAACATTTTTACTGCCCCTCTCAGCCCTTTACCTCCACAGCTGTGGGAAGTGAGGGGAATGTTTAGGAAGACTATATGGATGGAAGTGGGGGGCAATGGATGTGTTAGTGAGCACTTAACTCTAATGGGAGTGCCTGTTATCCCTGAGATTTAGCCTCTTGGCTCACCTCTCTCTCTCTCTCTCTTTCCCTCCTCTCTGTTCTCTCTCTCTCACTCTCTCTCTCTACAGGGTTCGAGGGACACAACTGTGAGACGAACGTGGACGACTGCCCAGGGCATAAGTGTATGAATGGAGGCCTGTGTGTGGATGGAGTCAACACCTATAATTGCCAGTGCCCACCTGAGTGGACAGGTCAGTACTGTGCAGAGGATGTCAATGAGTGCCTTATGCAGCCCAATGCCTGCCACAACGGAGGCACCTGTTTCAACACCATCGGGGGGCACACCTGCGTGTGCGTCAACGGCTGGACAGGAGACGACTGCAGCGAGAACATCGACGACTGTGCCACCGCCGTGTGCTTCAACGGAGCCACCTGCCACGACCGCGTGGCGTCCTTCTTCTGCGAATGCCCTGTGGGGAAAACCGGTGAGTCCACTGTCTCTCTGTGTCCCAGTTAGGGTTGTGAAATTCCGGGAACTTTCCCCAAATTACCTGGTTTTCCTGAAATCCCCATCTGGAAAACCAGGGAAGTTTAGGGAATTTTGCAGTCCTAGTCCCAGTCAGCAGTATGTTAGTTATGGTCTTGTTTATTTACTCATAGGAGGACAGTGTTACTGACATGGCTCTGTTTGTCCCTGTGTCCCCTCCCTCAGGTCTGCTGTGTCACCTGGACGACGCTTGCGTCAGCAACCCATGTAACGAGGGCGCCGTGTGTGACACCAACCCCCTGAACGGGCGCGCCATCTGCACCTGTCCCGCCGGCTTTGTGGGCGGAGCCTGCAACCAGGACATGGACGAGTGTTCCATTGGTAAAATGGCATATTATTTAGCATTGCCCTCTGCTTTGTGTTGGTCCTATCTCACCTGGTCCTGCCCTATATGTACTGTGTGTGAGCGGGTGCACTGACCCCTGTTCCCTCTTCCTACAGGTGCCAACCCCTGTGAACACTTTGGGAAGTGTGTAAACACGGAGGGGTCCTTCCAGTGCCAGTGTGGCCGAGGCTACGCCGGCCCCCGCTGTGAGATCGACATCAACGAGTGTCTGTCCATGCCCTGCCAGAACGATGCCACCTGTCTGGACCGAATCGGAGAGTTCACCTGCATCTGCATGCCAGGTAGGACCACCCTGACCCCGACCACCTGGAGACACCTCACAGCACAGAACTACAGCCAGGGAACGACAGAGAAGTACAGCTAGGGAACTACCGGGAACTACAGCTAGAGAACTACAGCCAGGGAACTACAGAGAAATGCAGCTAGGGAACTACAGGGAACTACAGCTAGAGAACTACAGCCAGGGAACTACAGAGAAATGCAGCTAGGGGACTACAGGGAACTACTGCTAGGGAACTTAGCCAGGGAACTGCAGAGAAGTACATCTAGGGAACTACAGCCAGGGAACTACAGCCATGGAACTACAGCCAGAGAAGTACAGAGAAGTACAGCTAGGGAACTACAGCCAGGGAACTACAGCCAGAGAACTACAGATAAGTACAGCTAGGGAACTACAGCCAGGGAACTACAGCCAGAGAACTACAGAGAACTACAGCCAGGGAACTACAGGGAAGTACAGCTAGGGAACTACAGCCAGGGAATTACAGCCCAGTCCTGTCACATCTCATCTCTCACTGCTCTCCCATCCCTCTTGTTTACTATAGACCCTCTGAGCCCCAGACACACTGGAGATGATGGCTTTACACTTGACTTTCGCAGAGTAGCTGTAGCCATAGCTCTAACCCTCCACCAACCCTCAGCACTAGATCTTGTTATGTAACACGTTCTCACTGCTGCTGCTGGTGGTGGTGGTGGGCTAGAGAGGTGCTCATAACTTTGACACCGGTGGTCCCAGTAAGACAGCCAGCCAGTGTGTTAGTTAGAACGGTACAGAATCAAGGCTCCCGACCCTCCTTCACAAACACATTGAAACTCTCACGCATGGCACCGTCCTCAGTCCATGCATCCTGGCTGGGGGTTTGGTTTGGGGGACTATGCAAATTAGGGATGGGAGTCGTGGTCTATAGGGCTGGATGGTGAGAGAGAGAGGGAGAGAGAGAAGCGAGGCGAGGGGGAGGAGTGTGCTGTGAATAATAATGAGCAGTGGAGTGGTGGGAATGGAGCCGAACAATAGGGCCTCTCTGTGCTCCACTTTGCACCCCTCATACACACACAGAGAAGAGAAGGGAGAGAGGCTTTTTCCCAGAGCTTCTACCCTCCCCCTTCCCCTCCACCTCCCCGTTCATGTTCCACAGACAGCCCCCTTCCTCTCCTCTCTCTCCACCCTCCTCATCATCGGCTAGCCTGGTGGAGTTCCATGTGGAGTGGCCGATTCTTCCTGATTCCATGCTGCCTCTGTCTCTTCAGAGCCGCCGCGGCCCACTCCACACTCAGTTTCACCTCAATGGAGGGGACACTGCAACACTCTATAGCACCATACCACTGATTATAGGACAGTTGTCAATGGGAAAGATGACCCAGGGACAGGGAGTGGTAATACTCTGTGGAACCACGGCGGGGTGTGGTGATCCAGGTCACAGCCTTAGCCCAGGCAGCAGTTCAATTAGGTGTATTTGTGATGGTTTCCCATCCAGGGAGAAAAAGCTAACGTTCCCCCTGTGGTTTGGGGCTCTGACAAGAGCGGTGTTGATTGAAAACCTTCTGTGGCCCCCTGAGACTGTGAGAAAACTATTTCCACTGCTAGAACTCCCCTAGATAGATAGGGAAACATTATGGTCATGTCTCCTGGACATAGAAGGCCCAGATTAATCATTTTATGAAAAAGTATGATCTTTGATATTTGTGTTAATAATGTATATGCAGGGGGGTGTATTTCTATAGCAATTCTGTTGATTGTCCTGTTTGAAAATCCAATAAATATATGTGTTAAATATATATATATATATATATATATGTGTATTTACTTTCCAGGCTACATGGGGACCTACTGTGAGGTGGATGTGGATGAGTGTGAGAGCAACCCTTGTGTGAACGACGGTATCTGCCGGGACATGGTCAATGGATTCACATGCACCTGCCAGCCAGGTAAGATCCGATTCATGTTGAATCTCTCTAAGCTGTTTAGATACAGCACAGAACCTCTCCAGCCTTTCATAATCAAAATGTCTAACCTTGTGCCGGTGTTGGTCAGTGTGAACTGAACAGGTGTGAGATGTGGAGTTAAATGTCCCTGTGAATCAGAGTGCTCCTCCTGCTAGTTGTGTCTGATGGGAGTTTAGAGCAACCAAGCCCAGTCATAAAAGCCATGCAGGCCCCAGAGGCAGCCTGCCTATCCTCTCCACTGAACAAAGACACTATTGTGACCCCCCACAACCCCTCCCCCTTCCTCTCCCCCTCTATGGTGGAATGTGGAAGGGACAGCAGTCCTACTAATGAGATTCTTTTTCAGGTTCGCAATTTACATCTGGGGCAGACATCCCCCCTCACCCCCCATCTAGCTATTGAGCCTGTGTAGCTGATGCAGGCAGGGAGGGGGGGTTCCCTGAGAGAGAAAACAATCCCACTGTCTCTCCCCCTCTAACCTCCTGCCCCAAGCAGCAACACAGACACACAGAGACACACAGACCAGGTCCATCCTCCTCACACTGTTAATCACCACTAGGTATTCCTAAACCAACCGCACCAATCGACTCCTCCAAGGGCCCCTTCCCAATTGATTTCTGTTGCTTTGCCAGCCAAACCTTTTCTCAGACATGGAATAGAAGTTAATTTAAAGCCTACTTTGGTGTTGCCATCTCACCAAATTAAGAACAAGCTATTTCAGACACTGTAGAAGAACGTGTACAAGATTAAATGTCTCAGCTAGTTGACCAAGGCATTAACCATACTCAGGATTCTGGTTTGATATTTACATGTTGGGGCAAGAAATCCATTTAAATGGTAGGCATGTGGGAGATAAAATCTTGCTGGGTTAAGCAATTGGTAGATGTGTTGGAAGTTGGAACCATGACTTAGCAGACATTCCAGAACACAACATAGTCCAGACATTCTCAAATTCACCAGACATCCCAGAATGTATAATAACAGAACACTGCAGACTGTAGACATTGCAGAACCTAACCCTCTCCAGAACCATGTTTAGGTCCTATTCTCTGGATCACACTCTGGATTTCAAGTCCATGGATCAATGACGATAGACCGTCGTCACCCTGTCCAGACACTTTAGAACCTTCCCATCCCACTGTCCAGACGTCCCACATCTAACCTAGCCTGGAGACCTCTGGCCCCTTAAGGAGCGCGGGCTGACCTCACTGTGGACCCATCTACTGGAGCTTTTCTCTGACCCCTCACCTCTGTATTTGCCTGTCCCAGGGTTTACTGGCACCATGTGTCAGATCGACATTGATGAGTGCGCCAGCACGCCCTGCCAGAACGGAGCCAAGTGTTACGACCGGCCCAACGGATACGAGTGCCGCTGTGCTGAAGGTAAGGAGCAATAATAATGTACATTTATTTTTGTCAGTGTGTGTTCTGTGTTGTGTGTGTCAGTGTGTACATACATGAGTGCTCCTAGACTGACAATCACCCCCTACAGCAGGCACATCTGTCCCCTCACCTCTAAAGGGGTTATAGATGGTGATGGTCTCATTGAGAGTGAGTGGGATGGTGGGGTCAGATGACTCCCTGGTTGTGTGTCTGTTGTGGCCTCAGACTGCTGGTTGGACTCAACCTGGGAGACTGTTGCTGGAGATGGACTGGGACTGAGGCTGAGGTTGGGTTGAGTCTGGACTGAGGCCGCTAATCCCCCCTCTTCTCCCCAGCCGGTCCCTCGGACCCCACACAGGGTCACCCAGGGCCAGCAGCTGCTGGGGGGGTGGGGGGTGGTTAGGGCTGGTCATCACCCCGACATCTGTTCCTCTGTACCCCACAATACATACCCCCACACACCCTAACACACTGCACTGGCCTTATGGCATATCTTATAGCTCAGCATTCACATTCACATTAGCATCTATGTGTAAGAATGTGAACAGCTCAGCTACAGTTTTTAGCTGGTTTCTTGAGCAAGTGTGTTTGTGTTAGTTTGTCTAGCGTGTGTGTGTGTGTGTGTGTTTGTGTGTGTGTTTGTCGGAGGCTGTGTCTATGTGTGTGTATGGGGAGCCTGTTGCATTGTTTAGTGGTGGCCAGCTGCTTGGTATTCCCTGTGTCCCCCCACCCCCCCCTCCTCTGTTGTTGAGTGAAGTGGCCCTGTTAGACGTGGTGTGGCCCATTGTCCCTGGCGGGAACAAAGCCAGGCCTGTGAGCCTTGTCAAGGGCCCTACTCCTTCTACACCGCAAGGACCTGTCCCCTGGCCCACAGCACGACGGGGCCTGCCTAGCACCCGGCACAGCAGCGCTCAGCTCTCTCTGCACCACCACACCACAACGCTCTGCTCTGCTCTGCACACTAACGAACCAACTAACACTGCTCAGTCTCACACACACAACACCGTCGGCATGGAAACCACGGGGCCCAGAACTCCAAACTGTAGAAGCTTTCATAGAGAGAGAAAGAGTGGGAAATAGGGGAGGTAATAGAAAGGAATAAAGAGGGAAGTGGAGAAAGGGAAATGAAAGGGAAATGGAGATGGAGAGAAGTGAATGGGAGAGGGGAAATGGTAGGAAGGGGTTTGGATGAGGAGAGGTTGCTGGGTGGCAGGCAGATTTAAAGAAAAAAAACAGTGTCTAAAAGATGAAGAGTGTGATGCAAAGAACCCCCAAGAGGCCTGTTCTAATTCCTGTTGTCTCTTTCTCCAGGGTACGAGGGCACACTGTGCGAGAGCAACACCAACAACTGCCAGCCCGACCCGTGCCACCACGGCACCTGCGTGGACGGCATCGCCAGCTACACTTGTAACTGCGAGGCGGGCTACACGGGCTACCGCTGCGAGAACCAGCTGAACGAGTGCCATAGTAACCCCTGCCAGAACGGGGGCAAGTGTGTAGACCTGGTCAACAAGTACATCTGCCAGTGTCAACATGGCACCTCAGGTGAGAGAGCAGTACCAATAGAGATTTATAACACTAAATATCTTCAACTTTATTCTGTTTATGGACACATAATTTCTGCTGGGGTCTCTGTCATAGTACTGCTGTTTGATTGGTGTTCTCTCTTGTCCACACAGGTACCAACTGTGAGATTAACTTTGATGACTGCGCCAGCAAACCATGTGACTATGGCATCTGCAAGGACGGCATCAACCGCTACGACTGCGTGTGCAAACCAGGCTTCACCGGCCCTCTGTGCAACATGGAGATGGACGAGTGCTCGTCTGGCCCCTGCAGGAAACGGGGGGTACGTGTGTGGACGAGGAGAACGGCTTCCACTGCCAGTGTCCCGAGGGCTTCCAGCCTCCCTACTGCTACTCCCAGGTGGACGAGTGTGGCAGCAACCCCTGTGTGCACGGCGCCTGCAGAGACGACATCAACGGCTACCGCTGTGACTGTGAGCCCGGCTGGGTGGGGAAGAACTGTGACCTAGACCGTAATGACTGTCTGCCCAGCCCTTGTCAGAACGCTGGCACCTGCATCGACCAGCTGAACGGATTCACCTGCAAGTGTCGCCAGGGCTTCAGAGGTGAGCCTGCTGCCCTATCCCAAACCCTATCCCTAACTCTGACTCTAGACACACAGAGGCACTACAGCAGCCTAACAAGCATACACCAGGCACCCGTGATGTATACACTCTCACAGCATACAAACACATGGTAGATAAACACAATCACTGTTTGAAAATAAACTTGGAGATGCATGTATACACCAAAACATTTGAACATCTACAGACCGTGTAAACTGCTGTACGTTGTTCTCATGCCAACTGATGTTTCAGGTAGCTTAGTGGTTAAGAGCGTTGTGCCAGTAACCGAAAGGTCGCTGGTTCTAATCCCCGAGCCGACTAGGTGAAAAATCTGTCGATGTGCCCTTGAGCAAGGCACTTAACCCTAATTGCTCCTGTAAGTCGCTCTGGATAAGAGCGTCTGCTAAATGACCAATTTATTTTTATTTTTTTATGTTTCACACAACTCAAGAGGCCTTGTTTGGTTTGGATCCCATCCATGAAGGGTCCCATCTAATATACTGGCTCATATCGCCCCCTAGTGGATATCTAAAAGAACTGCAGAGAGTGACAGCCAGTTAACATTTACATTTTTACATTTTAGTCATTTAGCAGACGCTCTTATCCAGAGCGACTTACAGTTAGTGAGTGCATACATTTTTCATACTGGTCCCCCGTTTACTAGTCTTAACTCCATGTTAAATTAACTTACTCAATGACTCTACTCTGTATCGTAATCTAACACATCTCCCTTGTGTCGCTCTCTCCTGCGTTGCCTAGGTAACCTGTGCCAGGTAAACATCAACGAGTGTTCGTCCAGTCCGTGTCTGAACCAGGGCACGTGTGTGGACGGCGTGGCCAGTTTCACCTGTCTGTGTGAGCTGCCCTACAGCGGGCCCACCTGTGCCGACGTGCTCACCCCCTGCTCCCCCAACCCCTGTGCCAACCATGCCTTGTGCACCCACACACCTGACTACCTGGGCTACCAGTGCAACTGCCAGCAAGGATGGCAAGGTCAGCTGTGCAACATTGACGTGAACGAGTGCATCGCCAACCCGTGTAAGAACCGTGGTACCTGCACCAACACACAGGGAGGGTTTGTGTGCTCCTGCCGCGGCGGCTTCACCGGGCCCAGCTGTGAGACGGACATCAACGACTGTGCCCCTAGTGAGTGACCAATGAGAGACTAGCAACGTTCTATTACTGTACTTCATTATCCATAGGACCACTGTCTCTGCTGCTGCTGCTGTACAATACCTGCCTCCATATCTGCTACTACTTCCTCCAACTCCATATCATCCTCCTCTCCCTCCATCCCTAACCCCCCTCTCTCTCTCCGTCTTCCTGCAGACCCGTGTCTGAGTGGGGGTTCCTGTACGGACGGTGTGAACTCGTTCCGCTGCAGCTGTCTGCCAGGCTTCACGGGGCCGCGCTGTGCCGTGGAGGTGAACGAGTGTCAGAGCGCCCCCTGTAAGAACGGAGGCACCTGCACAGACTACGTCAACAGCTACACCTGCACCTGCAGACCTGGCTTCACTGGCATTAACTGTGAGACAAACATCCCTGACTGCACTGAAAGGTGAGTCTGATAGTCCGCTTCAGGGGGAGAGTGGTGTGTGTGTGTGTGTGTGCGTGCACATGTGCCCTTTGTGACCTTTGAAACAGTGTGTGTTCTGATGTGTGCAGAATGGATCAACAGTGATAATATAACTATCTTTTACCCTACACCCACAGCTCATGCTTCAACGGCGGTACCTGTACAGACAAGATCAACGGCTACTCCTGTACCTGCCGCTCAGGCTTCACAGGCTCCCACTGCCAGTATGAGGTGAATGAGTGTGACTCCCAGCCATGCCTCAACGGAGGGGTCTGCCAGGACGCTCTGGAGTCCTTCCGTTGCTCCTGCCCCAAGGGATACACAGGCAACCGCTGCCAGGTACACACACACAGCATTTCTATTCTATACTATTCTATTCTATACTATTCTATTCTATAGTAATCCAGAAAGCATTAACACAAACACATGTTCAGATACTGTGGTGTTAAGCTGGTCCTCTTCTCTGTCTCTCCAGATGCCAGTGGACTGGTGCAGACGATCGTCTCCCTGTCAGAACGGAGGGCGCTGTCGTCAGAAGGACGCCTCCTTCTCCTGTGAGTGTCTGGGAGGCTGGTCTGGACGCTACTGTGACATCCCTGGGGTTTCCTGTGAGGTGGCCGCGCTCAAGAGAGGTACGGACGCATGCTCTGTTCTTGCTATTTGTGTGTGTTTACTGTAAGTGTTTAGCACAGCGGTGTCCAACTCATTTTGCCCCGGGGGCCGCATTCGGTCTTCAACGAGGTCCAGAGGGTCGTACAAAAAATGTGTTATATTTCCTCGGCATCAAAATTAGCAAAGAATAGTCCTCTATCCATAGTTTTGGGATTTGTTGATGCTCCCTGACAGTCTAGCTTTCATTTCGGTGATTATTAGCGAGCTGGACACAGTCAAGAAACTGTATGAATGTAGGTCCATTATCATTTCTACACAGTTTCGATTTGGTTTTAGTCATTTTAAAGTATATGTTTAACACCCCTGGTTTAGCGCATGTATGCAGTATGTGTTTAGATGTATACCGTGGTATAACTGTCCCCGGTCTCTTGTCTGCTCCCAGGCCTCCAGACAGACGAGCTGTGTCACCACGGAGGTCACTGTGTCAACACAGGCAACACCCACTACTGTAAGTGTCCAACAGACTACACAGACAGCTACTGTGAGAGCCAGGTGGACCACTGTGAGGACAAACCCTGTCGCAATGGCGCCACCTGCAGGGCCTACGTGGGAGGATACCAGTGTGACGTGAGTCGGATAAGTCAAGTCTGAATTCTGTATAAACTGCAGTTAATGCCTTAATGTTGTTGTAATATAGTTCTAGATATGATGTTAATGGTATGTGTCTATGGGCCTACAGTGTATGCCAGGCTACACCGGAGAGAACTGTGAGATGGAGGTCAACGAGTGCCAGTCTCACCCGTGCCAGAACGGTGGCACCTGCATTGACCTAGTGGGACACTACATCTGCTCCTGCCCACCTGGCACCTTGGGTATGTCCTCACCCATGTCCTCTTCCATACTCACAACATGTCCTCTTCCATACTCACAACATGTCCTCTTCCATACTCACAACATGTCCTCTTCCATACTCACAACATGTCCTCTTCCATACTCACAACATGTCCTCTTCCATACTCACAACATGTCCTCTTCCATACTCACAATATGTCCTCTTCAAGAAGAACGATTTCCATAATAATCCTGTTTACATGGACACAACTGAAATCAGGCTGCTTGATGGGACTTTGATGAATGCAGAAAATTGCCAATCAAAATAAACCATGTTCTTTTTGGGAAGCTTATTTGATAGGGTTCCCTATCTGAGTTCGGACATATAAAGTTTGTATGTGAAAGCTACTTCGGTTTTTCCAGACTCACTTCACTCGCGCATAAGGGAGGCTGTGCTGCTGGTGCTGCCTGGCACATGGCAGATGAAATACACTGCTGGAACTCAGATTAACATGTCCTAATAATTAGAAAGATTGCTCAGAAAACCAGGTGTTTTAATCGGCGTATGCTTACTACCATTATAACCTTACGCTGATTAAGATAAGCAGAGTAAGGTGTTTACATGATTAATGCCATACTCTGCCTTCTGCCATAATCAGTTTAATATTTCATTATTAGTGTGCATGTAAACGTACTCAATATTAATTTCGCCTTTAGGTGTTCTGTGTGAGATCAACGAGGATGACTGTGCTCCTCCTCTGAGGCTGCGCGGGACTTCTCCTAAGTGTCTGAACAACGGTACCTGTGTGGACAGGGTGGGGGGCTACCGCTGTAACTGTCCTCCTGGCTTCACTGGAGAGAGGTGTGAGGGGGACATCAACGAGTGTCACTCCAACCCCTGCAGCCCCACCAACAGTCTGGACTGCATCCAGCTCCCCAATGACTACCAGTGTGTCTGCAAGCCCGGCTTCACAGGTAAGGAGGGTGTGTGTGTATAGTCGTATTGTTGTGTATATAAATGTGTGTGTTTGTATCTGTTTGCACCAGACTAACGTGTGTGTGTGTGTTATTGTGTGCAGGTCGTCGGTGCCAGAGCAGGTTCAGTGTGTGTGAGTCTCAGCCCTGTCAGAACGGAGGGGCCTGTTCTGTCTCCAGCAGCTCAGCCCTTGGATACGCCTGTACCTGTCAGCTGGTAAGGATCAACATGTCACTGTCGCACACTTTTATCTAGTGTCTAGTCCACCTGTGGAAACAGCTGATATTTCTATAACCATCTCCATCTCCCTCACCTTCCCTGCTCACATAGCATAACCTAGAAACACATGTCAAAGACCCCTGGATTTATTACAATGCTAACATCCATGTCTCATGTATTGTAGTTGACCACATGTCTGTTTCTTACCCACACTGACTCTATATGTGAATGTTCTCCCTCCTCAGGGCTATGCTGGGAACAACTGTGAGAGGAGCATGTCGTGCCAGGAGTTGTCTTGCTATAATGGAGGTAGCTGTGCTCTGACCACGCGGGGCGCCCGCTGTACCTGCCTGACTGGCTACGCCGGGCCCCAGTGCCAGCACCGTAGTAACGAGGGCTGCTCCTCCCAGCCGTGCCGCAACGGAGGCCTCTGCACCGAGGAGACCAGCTTCCCCTTCTTCCACTGCCAGTGTGTCCAAGGCTGGACGGGCAAGCGCTGCGAGCAGGGCAGCACTAGGCTGGCAGAGCCCCCTCCGCCGCCCACCTGCCCCCTGCCCGACTGCCACGGCAAGGCCAATGACGGTGTCTGCGACAAGGAGTGCAACACATTCCTCTGCCGCTGGGACGGGGCCGACTGCTCGCTGGCGGTGAACCCGTGGGCGCGCTGCACCGACCCGCGCTGCTGGCGTGTCTTCAACAACAGCCAGTGTGACGAGGCGTGCAACAACGCTGACTGCCTCTACGACAACTTTGATTGCAAGAACAAGGAGAAAATCTGCAAGTAAGTACTCCACCTCCATCATTCTGTTCTGGACTCTCATTCCTTCACCTGACCCTCTACTATATGTAACCCTCTAAGCTGATCTCTCTAACTCTCTCTGTCGCCACCAGTCCCATCTACAAGACGTACTGTATCGACCACTACGCTGACGGTCGCTGTGACCAGGGCTGTAACTCAGAGGAGTGTGGCTGGGACGGTCTGGACTGTGCAAGGAACGTTCCAGAGGACCTGGCTGAAGGGGTGCTGGTCCTGGTGGTCCTGCTACCCCCGGAGGAGCTAGTACGTACGGGCACCCGCCTTCCTGCAGAAGCTCAGCGCCATCCTGAGAACCACCCTTCGCTTCCGCCTGGACCAAAACGGAGAGGCCATGATCCGGCCCTACATCCGGAGAGAGGCGCGCCTCAAACGAGAGCTGCAGCCCCACCAGGAGGTCATTGGGTCCATAGTGTACCTGGAGATAGACAACCGTATGTGTTCCCAGAGCTCTGATGACTGTTTCCCGTCGGCAAACAGTGCAGCAGACTACCTGGGAGCCCTGTCAGCCGTGGAGAGGCTCAGATTCCCATACCCTATCAAAGAAGTCCGCGGTGAGTAGAAACACACAGACACTATACCAGGATACAGCATCTAAAGATAACATGAGATAACATTAAAAACATTGATATATATGTCATTTCTTCATCAAATACTGTAACCACTGCTCATATACTAAAGTCCTTGTTATAACATGTAGGTGAGAACTTCCCAGAAATTATAGACATGCCAGAGTGGGGCAAACTGATGCTGGTGGGCGTGGCAGCCCTGTTCCTATTGGTCATCCTGGTGTTGGGCGTGCTGATCGCCCGCAGGAAGAGAGAACACAGCACCCTGTGGTTCCCTGAGGGTTTTTCCCCAAGAAGGAACCCAGCAGCAACAAGAACCGCAGGGAACCCTTAGGCCAGGACGCACTGGGCATGAAGTGAGTAGTCACACTGTTGTGTCCTCAGTACACTTACAGCACTCCTATGGTGATTCCAAATCAATGTATCTGCTCCACTATGGTAATGTGACTGTGTTTTACCTGTCTCTCTCCAGACACATGCCCAAGACGGTGGAGGAGTCTCTGCTTGGCGACCACAGTGACTCGTGGATTGACACAGACTGCCCTGAGGCCAAGAGACTGAAGGTTGAGGAGCCCAGCATCCTGTCAGACAGTGAAGACACTGTAGACTGTAGACAGTGGACCCAGCACCACCTAGCGGCTGCAGACATCCGTATGCCCCCCTCCATGGCCCTCACCCCGCCCCAGGGAGAGTTCGACCAGGACTGCATGGACGTCAACGTCCGAGGACCTGGTCAGTATTGAAATAAATCACATGGAATGTTGTTGTGTCATGTGCAGGGGGATGCGTCTGGATTGGAATCCTTGAGACAGTAGTATATCATTTTTTAAAAACTCCTCCTGATTCATATTCCCACTGTTTATTGTTAGTTGCTACATTTGATCTTTTTGATATGTTCCTGTCTGTTATGTATTGGGTTGACACATTGACTGACCCTGTGCCTCTCCCTTCCTTCTCTCCACCAGACGGTTTCACCCCTCTGATGCTGGCGTCGTTCTGCGGAGGCGGTCTGGAGCCCGAGCTCCCCGAGGAGGAGGAGTCAGAGGAGTGTTCTGCCAACATCATCTCTGACCTCATCTACCAGGGCGCCACATTGGCCGCCCAGACGGACCGCACCGGAGAGACCGCCCTTCATCTGGCTGCCCGCTACGCCCGCGCTGACGCTGCCAAGCGGCTGTTGGACGCCGGGGCCGACGCCAATGCACAGGACAACACAGGCCGCACGCCGCTACACGCTGCCGTGGCCGCCGACGCCCAGGGGGTGTTCCAGGTAAATACACACACACTTTTCAAATGCTTAATGTTGAAGTTATATCTTCACATTTACTCAATGTATACCTCATAATTACACATGTAAGACTTGACTTTGCTACTACTTACACTAGTCCACTTGCTGAGTTGACTGTTGTCTCATCTGCCAGACTGACATGTTATTTCTCCCTGTCTGTCCTGGTTAGATTCTGATCAGGACCCGGGCCACAGACCTGGACTCTCGTATGTACGACGGCTCCACCGCCCTGATCCTGGCTGCCCGCCTGGCTGTAGAGGGCATGGTGGAGGAACTCATCACCTGCCATGCAGACATCAACGCTGTCGACGAACTGGGTATGTGATTGGCCAAACTAGTGTGTACAGTGCAGCATAATGTGTGTGTGTGTGTGTGTGTGTTGAAGAGAGAGTTCATGCAGTTGAATGGTGATACTGTGTTTAGTGGTAAGAGGTAGGAGGAGTAACAACAGTGTGTGTTCCTCTCATCCAAGGTAAATCTGCTCTGCACTGGGCAGCTGCTGTCAACAACATGGAGGCCACCATGGCCCTGCTGAAAAACGGAGCCAACAAAGACATGCAGGACCTCAAGGTACACACAGCCCTCCACCTATATCTACAGCTGTCAGCTACCCACAGTGATACAATCTTGAATATATAGAGAGATATTGGGGAGCAAACATGTCTAATTTTCTCTTTCTCTCTCTCTCTCTCTGTATATTAGGAGGAGACCCCTCTCTTCCTGGCGGCGCGTGAGGGTAGTTGTGAGGCAGTCAAGATCCTCCTGGCCCACTTCGCCAACAGGGAGATAACCGACCATATGGACCGTCTGCCTCGGGACATCGCCCAGGAGCGAATGCACCATGACATTGTTCAGCTGCTGGATGAGTACAACACAGTGAGGAGCCCCCAGGGCCACGGAGGGGCCCCACACCACCTGGCCGGGGCACACACCTTGTCCCCCCTCATGTGTCCCCCCAGCGCCTTCATGCCCGGCCTGAAGAACACCCCCCAGGGGAAGAAGAGTCGCCGCCCCGGGGCCAAGGGTTCAGGTCTGGGAGGGCAGCATGCCCAGAACCTCAAGGATTCAGCTAAGGCCCGCAACAAGAAGCTGACCCTGGACATGCAGAGCGCCCTGCTGGAGAGCTCTGTCACCCTGTCCCCCGTCGACTCCCTGGACTCCCCCCGCGGAGGGGCCAACAATGCCGGCTACATCACCAACCCCTGCTCCCCGGTGGCCATGCCCTCCTCTGGGCTCTTCCACTCCTCCATGTCAGTGCCCAGCACTCCCATGGTGCACAGCAGCATGATGGACGGCTCTGGCCCCTTCGCTGTGTCTCTGGCCCAGCTCAACGACCTGGGAGATGGAGGCATGTCCATGCAGGGCCGCGTGTCCATGGCCAGCCAGGTCAACCAGGGCCCCCACGGCTACGTGCTCAACGCCGGCCAGCTGGGGCTCAACATGGGCCTGGTGAGCCCTGTCAGCGTGCCCTTCGACTGGCACAGCCGCATGCCCCCCTCCTCCCAGTGCGGGGGACAGGTGGTGAACCTGGTCCACAGCAGCCAGGCGGGCATGCACCCTCAGAGCCCCATGCAGCAGCAGCAGAACAGCCTCATGATGCAGCAGCACCAGCAGCACCAGCAGCACCTGTACCGCAGCGCCCAGCAGGCCATGCTGCAGCCCACGCCTGTCATCTCCAGCACGCCCATCTCCCTCAGCCCTGTCAAGCTGCCCTCCATCGCAGAGCAGCAGCAGCAGCTCCACAACCACTCCATGGCCAGCCAGCAGAGCCTCCGCATGGGCACCTCCTCCCCACCCACCCCCCAGACGACACAGCCCCCTCCAGCCTTCTTCCAGCAGCAGCAGCCCCCCGGGCAGCAGCAGCCTCCTCAGCCCCAGCCAGCCCCTCAGCCCACCTCTCCCCAGGCCTCCCAGGCCCCTCCTCCCCAGGCCAGTGGCAGCACTGCAGGCTTGGAGGACTACCCCACCCCACCCTCCCAGCACAGCTACTCCTCCGCCCTGGATGCCACCCCCAAGCATTACCTCCGCCTGCCCAGCGAGCATCCCTACCTGACCCCCTCCCCAGAGTCGCCCGAGCCCTGGTCCAGCCCCTCACCCCACTGTGTGTCTGATTGGTCAGACTCCACCCCCAGCCCGGCGGTGGCCGGTCCTGCCCAAACCCAGATCCCCCATGTCCAGGAGTCCAACGGCAAGATGCAGGTGTTTGCATGAACCCCCAAGGCACCTGGTTAACACATGGTTAACAGAGACCTGCCTGGGGGAGAGGAGAGAGGAGACGACTGGCTGTAAAGGCCTGTGTGTCTCGAGTTTATGTGTCAGACTGGTTCCAAGATTTTCATTGGATTTGGATTGACTGTGTTTTTTGCAGAGAAAGAGTAAAGGGAAATGTGTGTTGTCTGGATATAAAAGAGCAGACAATTTAATGAAGTAAGACTTATTCTGTCACAGATGGACTTGTTTTTTTATTATTATAAAAAGTATATGAAGAAAACGAAGTCTTTCATTTCAAAGACTTAGGGACGCTCTCCTGAAAAACTAACAAACTTTTTAAAAAGTAGATAAAAGAAAGAAAAAAGAAAAAATGTTGAAGGGAATTCCTTTATTTTTATTTATTGTTTTTTTTGTGTTTCTCAGAACTGCCTTTTCAGGTGTTTTCTCAGTCTCTTTCTGTCCTGCCCTCTCACACAGTGTTTCACACTCACCTGTTACATGGAACACGGCTTGGGCTCACCTGAGGCCAGTGGTGTTATAAGGAAAACTACTAGTGATTCACTCACTCACTCCCCATCACCACCAGTGTCTAACACACCGTAGGCAGATCAACATGGGGTTCAGACAGAAAGAGGAAGAGGTCTCGCCTCTCTTGACTGATGTTATTTATTTAGGCCAACAGGTAAAACGATCAGATTGGCTTAGGAACAAATATGTACTCTTTTAAGTTGGCTGTCATTAGTGATATTATGTTCTGATTTGATGAACTAGGAAAAAAAGAACTGATTACATTCCATGGAAGTATTATTTGTAAGAATGTAGAATGATGGGCGTCTCTGAAGCACTTCACGGGACAAAGCGTTTGGAGGGAGGGTGATCGTGAGGTGGGGTTCTGACATTGCAATGAAGCACTCTGCTTATCCACACACACAGAGCCAGGAAGGCATTTAAACATTCATTACAGTACGTTCATTGGCCAGTGTTCAGTCAGACAGACAGACAACTAAACAAAAACAGTGATGTGTTAAAGTTTCAACTTCAGCCACGTTCTTCCCCAGGCTGTCTGGGTGAGTGTCAGTCCCACGCATGGCTCGAGTCATCCTCCTGGTCATGTCTCATTGGTCCTGGTCTAAAGGGTCAGCCTACCACTGTCAGTGTAAACCCACCCATTCTGCCATCACTACTTAAGTCATAGCTTGTTTTCACTCATTCTGAACATTCATTCAGATGAGGGCATTATTATTTTGCCAATTTTAAATCAGCCTGTCACTGCCCTTTAGTTTTTACTCAGTTATGTGTTTGTTTTTTATATACTGTATATGTGTTGACACCATGGTTACCTTTTTGAACATCTCCTCGGTGTACTAAGCTATGTTTATCGGCTGCTATTCTTTTACCACTCCCCTGCAAACATTCCTGCATGTTGCCTGTCAGTGTGATAGCATGTTTTTTACTGGTTCTATTCTATTATTTGACCCCTGGTCCTGTTTTTGTGTAGCCTGAGTCCCACATCTGTTTGTGCTCTCTTGCCTACTCCATTGCTGTCATTGTTATGCGTGCAAGACCGCACACATAGATCTGGGACTCAGGCTAGCTGTTGTGTTGGCCAATAGACGCACATTCTCTTGCGGTTCCATTGGTAATTGAGGTGTTGGTATGTTCTCTCTCCTGTGGTTCAGTTATGGATAAGTCTGTGGACTGATTCCAACTCTGGTGCGGTCCAGTCGTGGTCAGTCAGTCAGTCGGCCAGTGTGAGGGCGTGGCTGGTGGGTTGGGACTGCTAGTGCTCTGTCACTCCTCAGGGAGGTGTTATACTACGGCATGCAGAGGAGCGTTCCCCTGCATCTTTAGCAGCTTGCACCCCACCAGCCACGGAGAGGACATTTAGACATGACTTGTTAGAAGACGTGGAAGGAGAGAACACTACTATGTAGTGCTGCACCCTCTACTGTAGCTCTTTACTATGGATGTCACTCCCCAGTGATCCAACTAACCCTCACAACCACACCACTGCTGCTCCCTGGCTAGGATACTTACTACTGGAGATGTAGTACTTACTACTGGGAAAGCCAATCACCTCTATGCCCACCAGATCCTCCTCCCCTGTTTGGCTTCATTACTATGTTTCCTTCACTGGTCCAAGCCTGTTCACTATAACCAGCTACTACAGTAGAGTCAGACATGGGAGGTTTCTGGGTTGGACTGATACTAGGTTCAGATTCCAGTTCAGGGTTCATTTAGTGAAGTATCTATTTGTTGTCCTTTGATTTCCTTTCCTGGCCACACTACTATGTTCTGTCTCTACATTTCAGATATCCCAACTTCTGTCTGTAAATAACGTTTGTCCTGGGTAGATCTACTTGTTTAAGATGAATCTTATGTTTCTAAAAATGATTTTGTACTAAAAAGGACAAAAAGAAAATTGAGGATATGACTGATATTTTATTGGTCTTGTATTATTAGAAGTCATAGATATTTTCTATCATCATTATTATTAATTCCTATACTTGTTTAAAAGTAGTTTAAAAATCATTGTACATAAAAAACCGTTCCACAATGTTTCTTTCTACAGACAAAAGTTGTAAAATAAGTCACTTCTAATAAAAACTGTAGGGAACTACATTTCTGTGTTTGTGTATCATATTTTCAAACATTTATATTTGACTTATAATAATGCACTAATTATTATGTATTGCATGTGAATAGAGCAAATAGTTTCAAACGTAGAATATGATGTTGGTTGCAGTTTTAGTGGATGGTTAAGGGCATCGTTACTGCCTTCCTGAGACCTAGAAGTACTGTTTCCCCAGATTTTGAAATGTCTTAGCTTTTCTGGGTCAGTGGTATTGACAGTGCTTCTTGAGTATGTTGTTACGGCTCTGAGAGTTGTGAGTTCATGCCCATGTTGGGTGGAATTTCCACTCTGTCACAATTGCGGTGGATTTCCACTCTATCAATATTGCACAAAAGTAAACAAGTCTACAAGGAGGGACAGACATGTTCTTTAAATGGTATAAAACTGAACTTCCAAAGACCTTGCTATTCATAATTTTCCTTCATTTCAACGTTAATCTCGGAGCGAGGAAGGATCACAACTTTGGACAACAACTTCCCTAAGGTCATTTTATCCTATCAGAGAAATAATGAAGGTGATATTGTTTACCTTGAATAGGGGGTGGGGGATTATTATTCTCTAATAATTCTGAAGTATGTCTTTAAGTTAAAGTTGACATTTATTGCAGGCTTTGGATGTGCTCATTCTACTACTCCCTGTGGCAGTCAATCCTCTACCATACGACACCATGCCAGTGGATTGTGCTGATGTGTATAGAAGGGGCTTTGGACACAGTGGAGTGTACACCATCTACCCTGCAGGAGCAACCTCCCCCATCCAGGTCTACTGTGACATGGGCTGTGAGGACCAACCTGGGGAGGGGAAATGGACAGTGTGTATAGTGAATAGACATTTTGTTGATAGTGTTTTGAGCTTCATCAAAGTTTGTTTCACTACCACTACCTCAGGGCTCAATCCATGTTGTTGTTTGCACAATTAACATTTGAAGTAGAAAATGTTATCAACCGGAGAGATGGATAAACATTCCCCTGGTGTGGAACATCTCAAATTTCAGTGGAAATGGGACAGTGAACTTTTACCGTGGATGGGACCAATACAGGAGTGGGTTTGGGCAGGCATCTGGAGAGTACTGGTTAGGTAAGAGCATGATGCACTGGACACATTTGAAATGTCTATGCTGAGATACTAAATGAATTAAATGTCTGTTAATGTGTATTATTACCATCTTTAGTGCTCATGTTCTCCACCATCACCTTGTGCTGTCCCTCAGGCCTAGAAAACATCCATCTTCTCACTCAGAGGCAGAAGTACGAGTTAAGGGTGGACATGGAGGACTTTGAAGGGGCTAAAGTCTATGTCCAGTACTCCTCCTTCTCTGTCTCCTCTGAGCATGAAGGATACACGCTGCATTTAAGTGGCTTCAAAGATGGAGGTGCAGGTGAGTCTATAGAGCATTTCAATTTCTCCTCCTTTCACGTGAAATAACAGTATTATAAATCTGAAATGACTACTTGGTAGATACAGTATGAAGAAAGTAATACTGGAAATGGAAATGTGGAACCATGTGTCCATTCTACATTTCAGGGAAATCTATGGACGAACACAATGGGCTGAAGTTCTCCACCTTCGACAAAGACCAGGACAGTTATGCTTCAAACTGTGCTCAATCATATCTAGGAGGATGGTGGTATGGAGAATGCCACAGTGTCAATCCCAATGGGGAATATCTGTGGGGCAACTCAATCTATGGTATTGGTATCAACTGGGTGTCTTGGAAAGGTTATAAATACTCTTTAAAAGCCATTAAGATGAAGATAAGGCCTGTGGAATAAGTTCAGAACCTCTCATACTCATATTTTTGTCTATATTGCATTCAAATATTACCTTTCAAATTATGAAAATATTGGGAAAGCAACTGAAGTTTAAACATTTTAAAGCAAATAACTTGAAGGGAAAAAAGTTTTGCCTCGTTTTATTTAAGTGTTGCCAGTCTTACCATAAACCTTCATATTACACTGTTAAAATACAGCAGTAAAGCACTAATATCCTCTAAAAGCTGAAGGAACAGTTGAAGGAGTCCAGATTGGTGTGAGACACACATACTCTTTCTTAGGGCTCAATTCAATCCGATTAAATCTGAAGATCCGAGCTACAGCGCGATTCAAATGTAAAGGCAATGTTTCCATGATTGCATTCATGGTTAACATTTACATTTTAGTCATTTAGCAGACGCTCTTATCCAGAGCGACTTACAGTTAGTGATTACAGTTTTTTTTTTTTATACTGGCCCCCCGTGGGAATCGAACCCACAACCCTGGCGTTGCAAACGCCATGCTCTATCAACTGAGCTACATCCCTGCCGGCCATTCCCTCCCCTACCCTAGACGACGCTGGGCCAATTGTGCGCCGCCCATGAGTCTCCCGGTCGCGGCCGGCTGCGACAGAGCCTGGATTCGAACCAGGATCTCTAGTGGCACAGTAACATTGCATATGTCAGCTCAATCGGAAATTACCTTTACATTTTAATTGCGCTGTAGCACGGATCTTCAGTGCTACGGATTGAATCGAGCGCTTCATCCAAATGGCTAGGTTACTGGGTTTGATTAGAGGCCCACAAACCCCACAGCCCTTAACTTGTCAAAGTCTCATCTTTGTTGAACACAGTCATTGATAGTCTAAGGAGTGGTTATGAATGTTCATAAGGAAGGGCTCTTGTCTGAGGCGTGGGTCTTTTACTAAGGATCTATCAGGAAGGTCTCAACAGTACTCTTTTGTTGTGTCTACACCAACATGACTAGCAGAGAAGAGAAGGGGGCTTGTGCACTGCAGACTGGAGAGTCACTCAATGACTCACACCTTCTGCTCTCTCTATCCCCTCTCTCTCCTCACCAGGTTATTCACTCTGTTTCTCCAACCTTCTGCTTAATTAGAGCTCTTCCCCGTCCTCTTCTGCAACATGCGCAGCAGCCCCAGACTGGCAGTGAATAGACTGTCGTGCTTGAAGAGCATCTTATAGAAGGTGTCCAGGGGTAGACGACCGGTAGGGTCTGCGTGCTTCAGGGCAGTCATGGGCATGTACACACGGTTGGTCTGGTGGCGAAACGGAGGCTCCTTCGCTGTGATCAGTTGAAGTGTTTGCTGCAAGAGAGTAGAGTGATTATTCTGTTTCCCATCTAGCCACCAAAGGATGAGATGTTGAGACTGCATACCAAATAATAATAGGATAGTAGTCACAAAATATAAAGTAGTGACAGAACAGTGTTACCTCTGCTATTTCCTCAGGTGTCTGTGAGAGGGAGTTGAACACCTTCCTAGAGTAGGGCAGGTAGATCTCACGGAAGATCCTAGCAGTCTCCTCGTCTGCCCCCGCGAGGTTCATCTTCTCAGCGTCCTCGTACACCTTCCTCTCAAACTCTGTCCCCACCGGACCAGGCTCCACTAGAGTCATCCTCAGAGTGGAAGGACAGATGGACAGAGCAGGGAGAGGACCACTGTTTAACTGAGGGAATCCACCTGCTTGCACATGCATGTGGGATCAGCTATTCAGTATCTCAGGCTAATCATCTACATGAAAACATAACCTGCGTGTTCACTGTTGTGGCATTAGGGCAAAGTCTTGTTACTGCTGAGTGTTGGTTTAGTTACTGCTGTATGACTCATGTAAAGTGATGTGGATGGATCTCCTTTAGTGTAGACTCACTTCACATTGAACTTCATGGCTTGTACTGCTAGACTCTCACAGAACCCCTCCACAGCAAACTTTGAAGCAGAGTAGACATCATTGAAGAGTAGCCCTATCAATACAAATAAAACCCATTAATTCATTTTAATGTCAAATTCTATAGGGATACGTTTAGGAAGTAAACACCTTATTTCTTTCTGAAGCTGCATTTATGTTCTGACTACTAACCCTGAATGCCCATGACGCTGCTCATCACCACAATATGTCCGCTTTGACGTTGCTTCATATCAGGCAAGACCTCCTTCACCAGCCGCACCAAGCCAAAGAAGTTGGTGTCGAAGAGCTCCTGCATTTCAGACACACTTTGGCACTCCAACGGCCCAATCATGCCTACACCTGCATTACTCACTGAGGGAGACAGATAATGCCATGTCACACCCTGTTCACTCATTATGGATGACAATGTGTTATCCCTCATGGTGTACTGTATACAGTACAGTGAGTTTATATTGGAGTGTGTTTCAAGTTTTTATTGTCATGTGCGCTAGTACAGTGAAATGCCTTTCTTGCTTGCTCTTTACCAACAATGCAGTAATCAATATCAGTAGTACTATAAAAAATACAATAAAAAGTCAAGTAGAACAAAAACACACAAGAAATAGAAATAAGAAGAACACAAGAAAGTAAGTAGCTATATACAGGGTCAGTTACTGGGTCAGTAGCTATATACAGGGTCAGTTCCTGGGTCAGTAGCTATATACAGGGTCAGTTCCTGGGTCAGTAGCTATAAACAGGGTCAGTTCCTGGGTCAGTAGCTACAGCTGAAGTCGGAAGTTTACATACACCTTAGCCAAATAAATGTAAACTCAGTTTTCACAATTCCTGACATTTAATCCTAGTAAAACTTCCCTGTCTTAGGTCAGTTAGGATCACCACTTTATTATAAGAATGTGAAATGTCAGAATAATAGTAGAGAGAATGATTTATTTCAGCTTTAATTTCTTTCATCACATTCCCAGTGGGTCAGAAGTTTACGTACACTCAATTAGTATTTGGTAGCATTGCCTTTGAATTGTTTAACTTGGGTCTAACATTTCGGGTAGCCTTCCACAAGCTTCCCACAATAAGTTGGGTGAATTTTGGCCCATTCCTCCTGACAGAGCTGGTGTAACTGAATCAGGTTTGTCGGCCTCCTTGCTCGCACACGCTTTTTCAGTTCTGCCCACAAATGTTCTATAGGATTGAGGTCAGGGCTTTGTGATGGCCACTCCAATACCTTGACTTTGTTGTCCTTAAGCCATTTTGCCACAACTTTGGAAGTATGCTTGGGGTCATTGTCCATTTGGAAGATCAATTTGCGACCAAGCTTTAACTTCCTGACTGATGTCTTGAGATGTTGCTTCAATATATCCACATAATTTTCCTTCCTCATAATGCCATTATTTTGTGAAGTGCACCAGTCCCTCCTGCAGCAAAGCACCCCCACAGCATGATGCTGCCACCCCTGTGCTTCACGGTTGGTAAGTTGTTCTTTGGCTTGCAAGGTACCCCCTTTTTCCTCCAAACATAACGATGGTCATTATGGCCAAACAGTTCTATTTTTGTTTCATCAGACCAGAGGACATTTCTCCAAAAAGTACGATCTTTGTCCCCATGTGCAGTTTCAAACCGTAGTCTGGCTTTTTTATGGTGGTTTTGGAGCAGTGGCTTCTTCCTTGCTGAGCGGCCTTTCAGGTTATGTCAATATATTACTTGTTTTACATTTACATTTTAGTCATTTAGCAGACGCTCTTATCCAGAGCGACTTACAGTTAGTGAGTGCATAAATTTTTCATACTGTGGATATAGATACTTTTGTACCGGTTTCCTCCAGAATCTTCACAAGGTCCTTTGCTGTTGTTCTGGGATTGATTTGCACTTTTCGCATCAAACTACGTTCATCTCTAGGAGACAGAACGCGTCTCCTTCCTAAGTATTAAGACTGCGTGGTCCCATGGTGTTTACACTTGCGTACTATTGTTTGTACAGATGAACGTGGTACCTTCAGGCATTTGGAAATTGCTCCCAAGGATGAACCAGACTTGTGGAGGTCTACCATTTTTTTTCTGAGGTCTTGGCTGATTTCTTATGATTTTCCCATGATGTCAAGCAAAGAGGCACTGAGTTTGAAGGTAGGCCTTGAAATACATCCACAGGTACACCTCCATTTGACTCAAATGATGTCAATTAGCCTATTAGAAGCTTCTAAAGCCATGACATCATTTTCTGGAATTTTACAAGCTGTTTAAAGGCACAGTCAACTTAGTGTATGTAAACTTCTGACCCACTGGAATTGTGATACAGTGAATTATACAGTGAGGGAAAAAAGTATTTGATCCTCTGCTGATTTTGTACATTTTCCCACTGACAAAGACATGATCAGTCTATAATTTTAATGGTAGGTTTATTTGAACAGTGAGACAGAATAACAACAAAAAAATCCAGAAAAACGCATGTCAAAAATGTTATGAATTGATTTGCATTTTAATGAGGGAAATAAGTATTTGACCCCTCTGCAAAACATGACTTAGTACTTGGTGGCAAAACCCATAGTTGGCAATCACAGAGGTCAGACGTTTCTTGTAGTTGGCCACCAGGTTTGCACACATCTCAGGAGGGATTTTGTCCCACTCCTCTTTGCAGATCTTCTCCAAGTCATTAAGTTTTCGAGGCTGACGTTTGGCAACTCGAACCTTCAGCTCCCTCCACAGATTTTCTATGGGATTAAGGTCTGGAGACTGGCTAGGCCACTCCAGGACCTTAATGTGCTTCTTCTTGAGCCACTCCTTTGTTGCCTTGGCCGTGTGTTTTGGGTCATTGTCATGCTGGAATACCCATCCATGACACATTTTCAATGCCCTGGCTGAGGGAAGGAGGTTCTCACCCAAGATTTGACAGTACATGGCGCCGTCCATCGTCCCTTTGATGCGGTGAAGTTGTCCTGTCCCCTTAGCAGAAAAACACCCCCAAAGCATAATATTTCCACCTCCATGTTTGACGGTGAGGATGGTGCTCTTGGGGTCATAGGCAGCAATCCTCCTCCTCCAAACACGGCGAGTTGAGTTGATGCCAAAGAGCTCAATTTTGGTCTCATCTGACCACAACACTTTCACCCAATTCTCCTCTGAATCATTCAGATGTTCATTGGCAAACTTCAGACGGGCCTGTATATGTGCTTTCTTGAGCAGGGGGACCTTGCGGGCGCTGCAGGATTTCAGTCCTTCACGGCGTAGTGTGTTACCAATTGTTTTCTTGGTGACTATGGTCCCAGCTGCCTTGAGATCATTGACAAGATCCTCCCGTGTAGTTCTGGGCTGATTCCTCACCATTCTCATGATCATTGCAACTCCACGAGGTGAGATCTTGCATGGAGCCCCAGGCCGAGGCAGATTGACAGTTCTTTTGTGTTTCTTCCATTTGCGAATAATCGCACCAACTGTTGTCACTTTCTCACCAAGCTGCTTGGCGATGGTCTTGTAGCTCATTCCAGCCTTGTGTAGGTCTACAATCTTGTCCTTGACATCCTTGGAGAGCTCTTTGGTCTTGGCCATGGTGGAGAGTTTGGAATCTGATTGATTGATTGCTTCTGTGGACAGGTGTCTTTTATACAGGTAACAAGCTGAGATTAGGAGCACTCCCTTTAAGAGTGTGCTCCTAATCTCAGCTCGTTACCTGTATAAAAGACACCTGGGAGCCAGAAATATTTCTGATTGAGATGGGGTCAAATACTTATTTCCCTCATTAAAATGCTAATCAATTTATAACATTTTTGACATGCGTTTTTCTGGATTTTTTTGTTGTTATTCTGTCTCTCACTGTTCAAATAAACCTACCATTAAAATTATAGACTGATCATTTCTTTGTCAGTGGGCAAACATACAAAATCAGCAGGGGATCAAATACTTTTTTCCCTCACTGTAAGTGAAATAATCTGTCTGTAAACAATTGTTGGAAAAATTACTTGTGTCATGCACAAAGTAGATGTCCTAACCAACTTGCCAAAACTATAGTTTGTTAACAAGAAATTTGTGGAGTGGTTGAGAAACTAGTTTTAATGACTCCAACCTAAGTGTATGTAATCTTCCGACTTCAACTGTATATACAGGGTCAGTTCCTGGGTCAGTAGCTATATACAGGGTCAGTAGCTATATACAGGGTCAGTTTCTGGGTCAGTGCCAAAACCATATTTACAATGTGCAGAGATACTGGAGTGGTAGGGTTAGATATGTATAGGGGTAAGGTGACTAGGCATCAGGATATATGATAAACAGAGTAGCAGCAGCGTATATGATGATTGCATGCGAGTGTGTGTGTAGAGTCAGTATGAATGTGTGTGTGTTATGTGTGTGTGCGTGCGAGCGTGCGTGCGTGCGTGCGCGGAAGCCTAATATTCACCGAGTACATCCACCCGTCTGTCTTGCAGGCTGTCCACACACTCTCTGATGGAGTCTTCACAGCAGGCATCCAGCTGTCTGATCTCCAGGGATCTGTTCAGGGTGTCCCCAGCCGCTCTCTCCAGGGGCTCCCGCTTTCCTAGGTTCCTCATGGTGGCAACCACTGCCTCACAAAGACACACTGCAAGTTAACAACACTTGCACTGCATCTCAACTGATGGGGTTGAGCGTGTCAAACTGTCAATTTCATTTATGAAAACCACAATGTTGTCTCTCTGACCTTTGAATCCCCTCTCCTTGGCCAGTCGTACAGCCACAGCCAACCCGATCCCAGAGGAACAGCCTGTCACCAGCACCCTCCTGGTCCCCATGGATACCTCACAGCAGCTACAGTTGCTCCTGATTGAAACTGGGTTCTCTGCAACTCTCCCAGAGTCCTTTGCAGTTGGAATGCATGGACCCTAGTGACCAGTCAACCTTGCCGTCAGGGCCAGTCTGTGAAGCAGGTGCTTTGTTAAAAGATTAGAAGGCTTACATGCTGACCGCGTCGCAAATACATTTACACATACATGTTATTCAATCATTGCACCCACACTGCTCGCGCGCGTCTGCGTGGCCAGCCGCTAAAATAGAACTCGGTTCTATTTGTGAAGCTCAACGCGCAGCAAGTCCTGCCTCTCCCATCTCCTCATTGGTTTTTAGTAGCATCTACCCACATGGGTGATTGAAAGATGAACTGAGGTCTACGCTCCAGTCCAGTTGGTTAGTTGTGGTAATGCACCATAAAGTTGGTTGCCACCGCCATATAAAGTCCAAAGAAGAAGAAGCCTGAAGGAGGAAAGATTACTAGAAAACAAACTTTTACAGTTTTATCTGTGGATTCATTGTCGGAGTAGAGGACCTTGTGCATTTCAGGAAAAATAAAAACCCAATGTTTATATCCCAGGACAAATTAGCTAGCAACAGCAAGCTAGCTAGCTAAATTGCCATACATGTTTAATGCTTTTCGACCTATCCCGAAATTAATATAATTGGTTCAGAGTTTGTTTTGATATTTCAACCTGCGTGTCCTGGTCCAGTCTGGTGTTGGGGGACAAAATCAATTTGGGCGTGCGGTCTGGGTAGCATGTAATCCTATGTGTATATCCTGGGAACGCATTGGCTCCATAGAGGGGTTGGTTGTTTAGCAACAAAACCGAAACGTGCGCAACTATGGGGAAAAACTGACGGGGTTGGCTTAGATTGTTGACAAAATGTAAACTATATTTCATTTACAAATTTTATTGAAAACATAAATCAATTTGCACAATGACCACTTGTTGTCTCTCAATACATCGTTACAGTTGTTGGTTAGCTAGCTAGCGAACTTTAGCCATATTAGCAAAACAAGAGATGGTATCAAGAACAAGATGAAACTAGGCACTTACGATTCCCCACATGGCAGTTTCTTGTCATTCGTGCTAGCAATTTGGCTATCCAGAATCACAACAACACGCCCCATGTAAGCGCGCACATCGTTTTCGTGACGTTGTCAGCTAACCCATCTACGCTGTTTGCCCCACTTATTCAACTGCTGATTACTTCATTTCACTCTAAAGGGTAAGGTTCATTTTATGGATGACTATGTGGATTTCAGTAACAAAGCCTCCCCTCAGGCCCCTACATTAATTTCAATCATTTAAGTATGTTTGCTGGGCTTTACAAATGCAAAGTCTTCAATGACAACGGGTCTGCACCTCTTTACAAATCTAAATAAATTTCGAATATAAATATTTAAGTACATAGCATTCACACATGATACCCATGATGATACATTATATCATATTATAATGTAATAGTGAACGTTATGCAAGTTCAAATCAGCCCAAGAGGCTGCAACACAAAGTTGCAGCTGTGTTGCTTGCAATGACTGTAAATGACCGGTGCTGCTATCTGAAATGTCCCATGTCGCGGTTTTAATATAGCTACAGTAGCCTATAGCTACACCCGTTAGAAACGGCTATAGTGTACCGGTATACAAACCTGTAGTGTGGGAAATAGTGCGCAGTTGCTACGGTGCAGGTATATATCTCACGTATATTTGTAGTCTAATACAGATACATTTAGGTAAAGATTGCCAATTTAGAGCAACGTCTAAACATTCAGGTTATTCGAATTAAAGCTAAAGCGAAGTAAACCGTCACATAACGACGACGGAGCAGCGGCTTGCCGGATGACCTAACTGGGTCATGTCATTTTGCAAACTGTGGCTGCTCTACCGGGAGTTGTAGTTCTTCGTCGCCAATTTACATTAGGTTTTTAATCGTTGGTTTTATTTGAGGGGACTGGTAATTCCGGGATGGCTTAAAGAGAAAAGGGGAGCCATGAGAAGTTATGGATGCAGAGTTATCTATGATTGAGATGCCAAGGGCGTTGGAGGGCTGCGGACAGACTGCTCCTGGAGAAGATAGGGTGTGTTATTTGATGTTTAAGCATGCACCGGACAGTGTGTTAGAAGCAGTGTTAGGGTTGTATCATAAGGTGTGGAGAACTGGGGTGATACCTGCTTGGTGGAAACGTGCGGTGGCGTTGCCGTTTGTAAAACCAGGTAAAGATCCCGCTAGGGCGGGCAGTTATATAGGCCTATTGCGCTGACATCCAACATGTGTTAATTGATGGAAAATATCATAGTGAATAGGATTATGTATCTCTTGGAAGTTAGGGGTTTGATGAGCGTAGCACATAGTGGGTTCAGGAGAGGGAGGTCTGCCATGGATGCCCTGTTGACAGTTAGTACAGAGATAGCCAAGGCCCTGACAATAAAATAGGTGATGAGTGTTGTGTATTTTGACATTGAGAAAGATTATGATACCATGTGGAGGGAAGGGTTGTTGATAAAGTTGAGTGCATTGGGCATTGAGGGACGTCTGTAAAACTGGATCATGGACTTCCTGTTCGATCCAGTCATAGGGGTGAGGGTGGGGTCAGAATTGTCAATGGGGTTTGAAGTGGACAACGGTACTCCTCAGGGAATTGTGGTTAGTCAGGTTCTGTTCACCCTGATGATAGATTACATATATAAGGAGGTGAGACAGGGAGTGGGTGTGGCCTTGTATGCCAATGATTGGGCTGTATGGAAGAGAGGTGGGAATGTGAAATATGTGATGAGGAAGATGCAAGAAGTTGTGGGAGTTGTGGAACATTGGTCTCTAACATGAGGGTTTAGAATGTATGTGGCCAAGTCCTGGTTTATGATGTATTCTAGGAGGAAGGCTAAAGACGTCAGGCTGAAAATATATGGTCAGGATATAGGTACACTCTTAGAAAAAATGGTTCCAAAAGGGTTATTCTGCTGTTCCCATAGGATAACCCTTTTTGGTTCCAGGTAGAACCCTTTTGGGTGCCATGTAGAACCCTCTGTGGAATGGGTTCTACAGTGCATTTGAAAAGTATTCAGACCCCTTGACTTTTTCCACATTTTGTTACGTTACAGCCTTATTCTAAAATTGATTAAATTGTTTTTCCCGTCATCAATCTACACAATACCCCATAATGACAAAATGAAAACAGGTTTTTAGAAGTATTTGCAAATTAAATTAAAACAAAACAAAAAACATACCTTATTTACATAAGTATTCAGACTGTTTGCTATGAGACTCTAAATTGAGTTCAGGTGCATCCTGTTTCCATTGATCATCCTTGAGATGTTTCTACAACTTGATTGGAGTCCACCTGTGGTAAATTCAATTGATTGGACATGATTTGGAAAGGCACACACCTGTCTATATAAGGTCCCACAGTTGACAGTGCACATCAGAGCAAAAACCAAGCCATGAGGTCGAAGGAATTGTTCGTAGACCTCCAAGACAGGATTGTGTCGAGGCACAGATCTGGGGAAGGGTACCAAAAAATGTCTGCAGCATTGAAGGTCCCGAAGACCACAGTGGCCTCCACCATTCTTAAATGTAATAAGATTGGAACCACCAAGACTCTTCCTAGAGCTGGCCACCCGGCCAAACTGAGCAATTGGGGGAGAAGGGCCTTGGTCAGGGAGGTGAATAAGAACCCGATGGTCACTCTGAAAGAGCTCCAGATTTCCTCTGTGGAGATGGGAGAACCTTCCAGAAGGACAACCATCTCTGCAGCACTCCACCAATCAGGCCTTAATGGTAGTGGCCAGACAAAAGCCACTCCTCAGTAAAAGGTACATGACAGCCCGCTTGGAGTTTGCCAAAAGGCACCTAAAAGACTCAGTGTAATGATTTCAGTTCGACAGACGCTGGGAGACGGGAAGCAAGTACAGGGTGATGATTTAATAAATAAAAGACATGGAACAAAACACGGACAGCGTCTGGACAGGGGAAACGAAACAACATCAATGCTGACACGGGGATCACAACTGAGGAACAGACAGATATAGGGGAGGTAATTAAACAGTGATGAAGTCCAGGTGAGTCCAATGAAGCGCAGATGCGCGTAACGATGGTGACAGGTGTGCGTAATGATGGGCAGCCTGGCACCCTCGAGCACCAGGGAGGGGGAGCGGGAGCAGGCGTGACACTCAGACCATGAGAAACAAGATTCACTGGTCTGATGAAACCAAGATTGAACTCTTTGGCCTGAATGCCAAGCATCAGGACTGGAGGAAACCTTGCAGACTTGTCAGGATCGAGGGAAAGATGAATGGAGTGCTCCAGAGCACTCAGGACCTCAGACTAGGGCGAAGGTTCACCTTCCAACAGGACAACGACCCTAAGCACACAGCCAAGACAACGCAGGAGTGGCTTCTGGACAAGTCTCTGAATGTCCTTGAGTGGCCCAGCCAGAGCCCGGACTTGAACCCGATCAAGCATCTCTGGAGAGACCTGAAAATAGCTGTGCAGCGACGCGCCCCATCCAACCTGACAGAGCTTGAGAGGATCTACAGAGAAGAATGGGTGAAACACCCCAAATACAGGTGTGCCAAGCTTTTAGTGTCATACCCAAGAAGACTCGAGGCTGTAATCGCTGCCAAAGGTGCTTCAACAAAGTACTGAGTAATAGGTCTGAGTACTTATGTAATTGTGATCTTTTTTAAATATATTTTTTAAAGAATTTGCAAAAGTTTCTAACAACCTGTTTTTGCTTTGTCATTATGGGGTATTGTGTGTAGATTGATGAGGGGGAAAAAAAACAATTTAATCAATTTTAGAATAAGGCAGTTAACGTAAAACAAATGTGGAAAAAGTCAAGGGGTCTGAATACTTTCCGAATGCACTGTATATGGAACCCAAAGGGGTTCTACCTGGAACCAAAAGGGTTCTACCTGGAACCAAAAATGGTTCTTCAAAGGGTTATCCTATGGGGACAGCCGAATAACTCTTTTAGGTTCTAGATAGCACCTTTTTTCCTAAGAGTGTAGGGTGTCTGAGTTTTTAAGTATTTAGGTATGTGGTTTGATGAGAGGCTTACGTGGAAGAGACATGTTGAGTATATTGAAATTAAGTGTAGGAAGGTGCTGAACATCATGAGGGCAGTGGCAGGATATGATTGGGGGTCGAATAGACAAACACTGTTGTATATGTACCAGGCATTGATCAGGTCATCTTTGGATTATGGGTGCTTTGTATATGGATCGGCAGCCAAAACGGTACTACAGCACCTGGATAAGATACAGTCAAGGGCCCTGAGATTGTGTGTGGATGCCTTCAGGACGACGCCTGTTGAGGCATTGCAGATGGATAGTGGGGATCTGCCACTGAGGAGAAGGCGGGACAAACTTGCATTAGCGTACTGGGCGAGGTTGAAAGGCAGTTCAGAAAGACATCCTGCGGTCACGGCAACTGGGGAGCGAGGAGTGGGTAAGCAGAGGGCGTACTGGTGGACAATCGGGCAGAAGGTGGTAGAATATGGACTGGGGGAGAGAGGGAGAGGGCCGGCAATTGCATTGGGGAACGTTCCTCCGTGGCTGTTTCCAAAACCAAGTGTAGATAGGACATGATTGAGGGCAGGAGAGAATGGGGTGAGGACGTGAGACGGTGTGTGGAGAGATTTATAGATAATCGTTTTTATTTGTTTTTAAGGATATATGCAGATGGTTCAAAGGATCCAGTCAGTGGTAGGGTAGGGGCTGGGGTGTATATCCCAGATTTCAATGTTAGAGTATGTAAGCGGTTAACTGATTATGTTTCAGTGTATGCGGCCGAGTTGATGGCCATGATTATAGGTTTGAGATGGGTGGAGGAGGTGAAACCACTCAGGGTGGGGATCTGCTCTGAATCGACTGCAGTGTTGAGTATTGTGAAGATGGGCAGGTTGGATAGGGGAGACTTGTTTGTGGAGAGGATGGTGCTGTTAATGGGATTGGAGAGGATGGGAGTGGTGGTAAGCTTTTGCTGGGTTCCCGCCCATGTGGGTGTGGAGGGTAATGAGAAGGCCGATGTGGTGGCTAAGAGTGCGTTGAGGAGAGAGGGGGTAGATATTCAGGTCCCACTGGGCCGCAGGGAAGTCAAGTCCTTGATCCGGGCAAAAGGGCTCGATCTTTGACAAAGGCAGTGGGATGCTAGTAGTAAGGGGAGGCAATTTTATCGCGTTCACTGGTCAGTAATGGAAGAGGTGGGGAGTATGGGATGTAGGAGAGAGGAAGTTGTGTGGAGTAGACTACGGTTTGGACACACAGGTTTGAATGGCACGTTGTGGATGATAGGGAGACATGAAACAGGTCTGTGTGATGAGTGTTTAGTGGACGAAACGGTGGAGCATGTGTTGATATTTTGTGAACTGTATGATGTAGATAGAGAGAGATTGTGTGAAAGGGTTTGAGAGGCTGGACGGGGTTGGGGTTTGGGTGGTGTAAAGGGGGGAGAAGTGGTATTTCACTTTCTTAGAGGAACAGGACTAATGAAGGAAGTTACATTTTGTAGGCCGTGACTGGCCTTACACCCCAGTACAGTAGGTGGTGGTGTACGCACCTTAAAAGTTGGATTGCGATCCGCCAACTCAATCCCAAAGAAGAAGAAGCAGAGGGGGCTGGTTGGAACGGTTCACTTGAAAGGGGCTCTGAAGAGGAATCATGGAACCAGAACAGGAAAATTGGGACAGGGACACAGAAATGTGGATTTCTGAGGAGGAATGGAGGCGGGAAAAGAGGAAGAAGAGGTCGAAGAGAATGAGGAAAGCAGAGGTTGGATTTTAATCTGATGAAGATGGCGATAAAAATGGAGATGGGGTGTTAAAGAAGATCGGTGTCAAGTGCAAAGAGTGAGCCGTGCGCCAGACCGAGTTCTGGAGGAGAAATTGAAGTGAATGAGGGCGAGTTAAGCGAGGTGGAAGGTGTGGTGAAGCGCTTGACATCATTGGACATGAGCAAAAATAATCTAGTTCAATAGGAGTGACAGTTTTGGATGTAAGTGGATCCTTGCCTTTTGGCAGATCTGTTTGTGGTTTCAGGATGGGTGGAAAAGTAGTTGGGTGCATTAGAATCCGTGAAGGTAACCTGTAGTGGACTTTTGATATTTGTTTGTGTTTCTTCTGACCAGAGGGAGCAGGCGCTCCGTGTCACACAACTTGGGTCAAGATCTGTTTTGTGCTTTGCTCTTAGGAACAGGGCACCGTTGAAAGGAGTGATTTCTGGGGTAGCGTTAAGTGTGGTGGTGGGGCAATTGAAGTTGAAGATTCCCGGTGTTTGTGAAGCCTGCCGTTTGGTGTGACGCAGACCCGGTGGGGAGCGTGGTGAAACAGAGGAGTCACTGTCAGTCCTTTTGAGTTTTGAGTCAGAGTCGACAAGGTCATGTTAGGATATATCAGTTATCCTGTTAGAGCTTTTGTGGCAAATCCACTGCGCTGTTTCAGGTGCAATGTTTATGGTCATGTCGCAGCAGTGTGTAGGAGGGAGATTTCAAGATGTGGGAAGTGTGCAGGAGGGCGTGGGACAGAGGATTGTGTAGTTTCGGCAAAGTTGTGTGTTTCAACTGTAGGGGTGTCAGGTTGAAGTGGCCAGAGAGTAGTGCAGAAGGTGTCGTATGCTGAGGCAGTGAAGAAAGTAGAGGCGGATGGGTCAAGGGTGAGGAATCCTGAGAGGATCCCAGTGAGTAGTAGATATGTGTCAGCACAGAGCGATAGGCCATAGAGTGTTTTGAGCTTCAGTTGGCTTCTTAGCGTTCATAGCAATGATTATCAACTGTACCGCAGAAATAGATGTTGTGGTGGCAGCTGCAGAGAAGTATTTGTGTATATGAGATTTTTTTATTTTTTTTGTCATTTAGCAGACGCTCTTATCCAGAGCGACTTACAGGAGCAATTAGGGTTAAGTGCCTTGCTCAAGGGCACATTGACAGATTGTGGGCACAATGCTCTTAACCACTAAGCTACCTGCCTCCCCCAGATTTGACTTCAGAAGAGTTACAGGGTGTGTTGAGTGGGGGTGTCCCGTTTTTTTAATGAGTGTAGATGGCAGCTGGATGTATGAGATTTTACTGCAGAGGAGTTATAAGATGTTTAGAGATAATTTTAATGAAATAGTGGTGTTTTTATTTTTATTTCACCTTTATTTAACCAGGTAAGCCAGTTGAGAACAAGTTCTCATTTACAACTGCGACCTGTATATAGGTGTAGGGTTGGTTGGTGGTGAAATGTATTTTGGTAAATGTTTTACCCCTTTTTTATTTTTTTATCACAAATATAACGTGATTGAACATACACTACCGCACTGTAGGTGGCGGCATGCACAAACAAAATGTGAGAACGGCATGATACCTAAGAAGAAGAAAAAGCAGCGGGGGCTGGTTGTGTGGAAGAAAAAGCAGCGGGGGCTGGTTGTGTGCTCATTGGTTGGTGTGTGTTTGTTTTGACGGTGTGTGGCGTGCGTGTGCGTGTTGAGGCGTGGTGCGTATGACCAGTCTAATGCCGCGTTCAAAACAACTCGGAACTGGGAACTCGGAAAATCCGACTTCAGTGTTTTCAAAACAACTGGGACCTCGGGAAAAAAACGAGCTCCCAACTGGGAAAAATCGATTTGAACGGTCATCCAACTCGGGCCTCTTTCTCCGATTTGCCGATCACTGACGTCATGATTTGACCTCGTATTTTTCCGAGTTCCCAGTTGTTTTGAACGCGGCATTTTATCAGAGTGAAAGTTGATAGTCAACACACTGCAACTGCAGAACTACAAGGAAATAGATCGATTGTTGCGAAATATTTTGCCATAGAATAACATATACAAGGATAGAAAAAGCCTCAACGATAATAAAATGAGCCGTCTGCAAGATGAATTTGAGGTAGGCTACGGTAAACTTAGTTTTCATTTGGCCAATAACAGTTTTATATGGTCAATTTGCATGCGCCTTTCATGTTTGTATTGTAGGTCTACGGATCCAATGTCCAATTTGTGTTTGGTCGATGTGAAACTTTTAACGTTAGATAAGAATTATGGTTTTTATCACATTTCTCATAAGTATAGCCTAAATCTAAATAACGTCATCAAACACTAGAGTTATTACACTTTATGAGTAGGTTAGAGAGGACCGGGCAAGAGCAGTGTGTGTTTGATGTGCGTTGTGTTGTTTTTGAATAAACCATGCCCGTAGGCAGCATTTGCATTTGTTGCAATGTTCTGTCGATCTTCCCGTTGAATGTGCCTGATCTTCTATTTTATTTGAGACCAGCCTGTTTATTTTAGATCCTTATTGTCATTTTCTTATTTGTCTGTTAATTTAGCTGGAGAAAAGTGTCAGGCGGTTCAGGGAGACATTCCATGGAAAGATAGCAGTGGAAAAGGCAACCTTACTGATGAGACGCTATGCCAACAACCATCACATGGTCACCTGGGCAGTTATACTGAAGAAAGGAAAGGGTAAAGAAATGGTTTACAGTAAATGCAAACCCCAGTCATACCACTATAGGAAACCCCATGGAGTGGTTTCCAAGACACAGGGTCCTGTACTAAAAAGCTTGTTCAATGGGGATTCTCCATTAAATTTGCTTCTTAGTCCAGGAACAGAACTAGGATTCATCTGTCCTGGAAACAATCCCTTAAAGGGGTAATCTGCAGTTGCTACATCCATTTGTTGCACTTATGCATTTATGAAATGTACCCATTGATTCTTGAAGAATATAATTTATGAGCTTAGTTCAACTGTCGTACCCCATCAGAACTCAAAATATAAGCTTGTTTTACTCCATTGTTTGTAAACAAAGTAAATGTAAACAAACACTATATAGCCTCAAAACATGGTTAAAACTATCATTTTTATAGAATGGATGGTCAGTCCTTGCATCCATAGCTCTGTGTATGAATTTAAAAGTGGCTACATTTCTCCAGCCCCATCCCTCGTTTTTTTTACAGAAACGGGCGGGGAAGATGCTTTGTTATTGTTTCAACTGCTGATTGGCTCTTTAACCTCTATTCAAACATGGTCTCTGGTGGTTTAACAACCATACCTATTTTATTTGCGTTAAAGGGTTGGCCATGTTGACAATCTAATCTCTGATTCTTCCTCTTTCTCTACTCTTGCCATGTAGAGCTGGATGATGAGGACAGAACATGCTTACAGACGGATCAGGCTGTCAAGGTTACATTAATAAATTCCATACTATTCTCTGTCGCTTTGTGTGTGTTTATTTGGCGTAGGGGTGTATCCAGGCGGTCTCTATTTCTTTGAACATGTGTTTTTTTGTGGTCATAAACATGATAGTTCAGTTTTACCCTGACCCTTGACCCACCTCTCTCTCTCTCTCTCTCAGAACGTGGTGCAGAGACTCACAGCTGAGGAGAGGGAACCTCAGGTCCCTCCTGCACAACAGGTACAACACAGTCACAGTGTTAGTTAGTCCCTCTTTCATTAGGTTAAAGAGTCAATGTTCATCAGAAGACACCTGGATTTCAGGCATTTCAGTATAATGCAAAAGTCTCTGTTGATTTTGAAGTTCCATATTCCATAACCATATTGGTAATGGGTAATAACTCATTGGGAATAGATTTGTGAGCTATTATAACAACACTGTTCAAGGGCTGAAAGAGGGAATAAAACTCCTATCATATTATCCTGGTCCTATATCCAATCTGATAATCAGGTTGGTAAATTGGTTGCCTTGACTATTTCTAATTCTATGATGTACATTTGTCATCCCTACAGCCCCGAGGTAGCAGACACCCTGAAGACGATAATGATATTAAGGTCAGTCATCCACAGGCTATTTACCGACTTAACATTCATCCCTTTCCCCACCAGTGAAGTGGATGGCGAACTGAACAGTGTGTGTGTGTGTGTGTGTGTGTGTGCGCATGCGTGCATCCCTGCGCGTGCGTGTTGTGTCTTCAGGAGCTGGGAGAGCGTCTGCGGGTCCTGCCTCTCACTGAGAAGAACAAGCGAATGTTTGATAATGCCCAGCGCCACCTCACCCCCTCTGTCCTGCACCAGTTTGCCTGCCAGACCTGTGACAAGGACTGGTGGCGTCGGGTACCCCAGAGGAAGAGGGTAATACTCTTCCATACATACCCACCTGGTATCCACCGTTTTCTTCACACATTTGTACACACTGTTTGATATGCATGCCAAATCCATTCATAATAGTTCAAACGTATTTCTCCATGCCTGTGTCTGTAACTGTGTTCCTGTTACCTTGTTACTTTGTCTTATCGTGTGTATTTCACATGGCCAGTTCATCTACTAACTAGGGTCTCCACTGGCTGTCATCTCTCCTAGGTATCTCGCTGTCACCTGTGCAAGAAGAAATATGACCCTGTCCCTTATGACAAAATGTGGGGTATTGGAGAGTTCTGCTGCACCAAATGCACACGCTCCTTCAGGTAAAAGCTGGAGCTGTCCTGTACATGTGTGATTATGAGAACTAATGAGACATTCTCAATGTGATTTCATCTCTATGCACTTGTTATTCAATTGGTTTGATTTGTCCATCAGGGGCTTTGGGAGGATGGATTTGGGCTCCCCCTGCTACTCCTGCCGAACTCTGGTGACCCCAACAGAGATTCTTCCTCCACGCAAGGGAGTGGTAGGAATAGTAGGACCCAGGAAACCTATCCCACACAGCTGCCTCGCTGAGGACTGTTACAACAGACAAGGTTAAACTACACACACACACACACATACACACACACACACACACACACACAGGATTGCTGTACTGTAGTTTGTAGTGTGTGTTACTACAAACAAGTACCACCAGATGGTGTCCTTTTACATGTCTGTCTGGCTGCTTGCTCCAGCCAACTAACTGGACTTGTGCTTCCATTCCAGAGCCCCATGTTCCTGGGACAGAGTGTGTCCACCCCCGCAGTCGCCAGAGGAACAGGAAGCCTCGCGTGGTGAACCCCAGCTCCATCCACATCAGCTCCGGCTCCACCGTCAACACCTGCCTGAGCCAAGGAAGCCTGGAGAACCTGTACGACCTCATCATGGATGACATCAGAGAGGAGAGTGAGGAAGACAACAGTAGTGGCAGCAGCAGCAGCTAGAGCACCACTGATGTGACCAGTGACCAACACAGTCATGAGCAGCTTCCCTGCTTCCCCAATGGTGCTTCCAACGATCAGGATTTTCTTAGGTTCACTTTCAGTGTAAGGATGGCATCTCATAAGCCTACTGATATAGTATTGGTTTTACTTTCCTTTCATTTTAAAAACCATGAAAAGACTGCTCAATATTCACAACAGTCAGATGGTATAAGTGAGATGATATAACTTGTTTCATGTTTTGCTTTTGGCTTTGTTTATGCTTACTGAAGTGTTGTTGCCGCTGTTGCTGCTTTGTTAATGTCTGAATGACAAGGGGAGATTGACCGCACTGGCAACGTCCCAAAACTCTGCCTTTACTTTTGGTTACCTATTCAGGAGTTAGCTTTCTAGCAGGGGTGGGTAGAGTAGCCAAAAATTGTACTCAAGTAAAAGTACTGTTACTTCAGAATAATATGACTCAAGTAAAAGTAAAAAGTAGTCATCCAAATAATTACTTGAGTAAGAGTAAAAAAGTACTTGGTGAAAAAACTACTCAAGTACTGAGTAAACTGTTGAGTAACGTCTGATTTATTTTTTAACACAAGACAACAATCAGACAGACAAAAATACAAAATAATCATCTTTAGGCAAATTATAGTTCATCCAATCAATAAAATAAATTAAAATGAATTACAAAAGTTTAAATTAAAACAATTCAGGTAAATTCAAGTACTTCAAATAAATAAGCACAAGTAACACACATTTCCAAACCTTTATACTTTTTTTTACCAGGCAGAACTAGAACGAGGCAGCCCATAAACTCTCATAAACTGTGTGTGTGTGTGTGTGTCTCCACAGTGTCTCCACAGTGACAGAACAACAGAAGGAAACACACAAACATTTCATACCAGACATGCTGAACAGAAAACTGCACACCAGAAGGAAGCGGTCATCGTAAAATAATCAATAGGTGTTGATTAGGCCAACTCAGTACCTTTGTATTGTATGGTGTTAGAAATTGCGTAATTCAAATCTGGTATTGGAATAAGAGAAAACATAATCAAGAGATATTCAATCCAAGCTAAATTTATTATATGCAAAATGTATGTATGATAAGTATGATGGTTCGTATACCACTGAAATACCACGCAGGGCAGACAGAGAACTAATCCATTGTTACAGGTTCTTCTTCAAATACTCTGACAGAGATATTTCCCACTCCCTGCTGGCCAATCAGAGTAGAGACTGAGCGTGGTTTGGACTTACTCAGCCAATCCGTTGGCGCACGGGCTGGTCCCACCCCTTGGCGCTCCACTTGTTGCACACTGTTGCCAGGCATACGTTTTTATCATAACCACCTGTGGAGTAAGCACCCAAAAGACACCACTGTACTGTGAGTACATACGTTCAAGGACGGTTCACAGACAACAAAGAGGCAGTGTTCGTATCTGTAAGAAATACAAGTCTTATCTGTCCTTCCCCCTAACGTTCCTTACATGAATCACAGCCTGTTATGTGAAACAATTTATATCAGTATAGTACAAACCTATGCTTATCATTAATGCATTCCTTCTAAGCTATTCATCACATACAGATTGAGATGGGGTCAAATACTTATTTCCCTCATTAAAATGCTATTCAATTTTAGTTGTTATTCTGTAACTCGTTACTACCCACCTCTGCTTTCTAGTAATGTGTGTGTTCAAACACATTTGTCATATCAGCTTGAACAAGAATATATTATAAAACACAAATAATGCATTTTGGTTTCCCCCCAAAAAACACAATAATGCATTATGAAATCTTACTATTATTAATTTTCAATACGACTCAGGTTCAAATCAAATTGTATTTGTCACATGCGCCGAATACAACAGGTGTAGACCTTACCGTGAAATCCTTACTTACAAGCCCTTAACAAACAATGCAGAGTTAAACAAATAAAAAAGTAAAATATTTGCACACAAAAAACTACAGTTTAAAAAGGTAACACCATAAAATAACAATAACGAGGCTATATACAGGGTGTACTGGTACCGAGTCAATGTGCGCGGTACAGGTTAATTGAGGTAATATGTACAGTGAGGGAAAAAAGTATTTGATCCCCTGCTGATTTTGTACGTTTGCCCACTGACAAAGAAATGATCAGTCTATAATTTTAATGGTAGGTTTATTTGAACAGTGAGAGACAGAATAACAACTAAAATTGATTAGCATTTTAATGAGGGAAATAAGTATTTGACCCCATCTCAATCAGAAATATTTCTGGCTCCCAGGTGTCTTTTATACAGGTAACGAGCTGAGATTAGGAGCACACTCTTAAAGGGAGTGCTCATAATCTCAGTTTGTTACCTGTATAAAAGACACCTGTCCACAGAAGCAATCAATCAATCAGATTCCAAACTCTCCACCATGGCCAAGACCAAAGAGCTCTCCAAGGATGTCAGGGACAAGATTGTAGACCTACACAAGGGTGGAATGGGCTACAAGACAATCGCCAAGCAGCTTGGTGAGAAGGTGACAACAGTTGGTGCGATTATTGGCAAATGGAAGAAACACAAAATAACTTTCAATCTCCCTCGGCCTGGGGCTCCATGCAAGATCTCACCTCGTGGAGTTGCAATGATCATGAGAACGGTGAGGAATCAGCCCAGAACTACATGGGAGGATCTTGTCAATGATCTCAAGGCAGCTGGGACCATAGTCACCAAGAAAACAATTGGTAACACACTACGCCGTGAAGGACTGAAATCCTGCAGCGCCCGCAAGGTCCCCCTGCTCAAGAAAGCACATATACAGGCCCGTCTGAAGTTTGCCAATGAACATCTGAATGATTCAGAGGAGAACTGGGTGAAAGTGTTGTGGTCAGATGAGACCGAAATCGAGCTCTTTGGCATCAACTCAACTCGCCGTGTTTGGAGGAGGAGGAATGCTGCCTATGACCCCAAGAGCACCATCCCCACTGTCAAACATGGAGGTGGAAACATTATGCTTTGGGGGTGTTTTTCTGCTAAGGGGACAGGACAACTTCACCGCATCAAAGGGACGATGGACGGGGCCATGTACCGTCAAATCTTCGGTGAGAACCTCCTTCCTTCAGCCAGGGCATTGAAAATGGGTCGTGGATGGGTATTCCAGCATGACAATGACCCAAAACACACGGCCAAGGCAACAAAGGAGTGGCTCAAGAAGAAGCACATTAAGGTCCTGGAGTGGCCTAGCCAGTCTCCAGACCGTAATCCCATAGAAAATCTGTGGAGGGAGCTGAAGGTTTGAGTTGCCAAACGTCAGCCTCGAAACCTTAATGACTTGGAGAAGATCTGCAAAGAGGAGTGGGACAAAATCCCTCCTGAGATGTGTGCAAACCTAGTGGCCAACTACAAGAAACGTCTAACCTCTGTGATTGCCAAGAAGGGTTTTGCCACCAAGTACTAAGTCATGTTTTGCAGAGGGGTCAAATACTTATTTCCCTCATTAAAATGCGAATCAATTTATAACATTTTTGACATGCGTTTTTCTGGATTATAGACTGATCATTTCTTTGTCAGTGGGCAAACGTACAAAATCAGAATTGGGGTATGTCTCTATAAGCTTGGCACATCTAGCCACTGGGATTTTTGCCCATTCTTCAAGGCAAAACTGCTCCAGCTCCTTCAAGTTGGATGGGTTCCGCTGGTGTACAGCAATCTTCAAGTCATACCACAGATTCTCAATTAGATTAAGGTCTGGGCTTTGACAAGGCCATTCCAAGACATTTAAATGTTTCCCATTGAACCACTCAAGTGTTGCTTTAGCAGTATGCTTAGGGTCATTGTCCTGCTGGAAGGTGAACCTCCGTCCCAGTCTCAAATCTCTGGAAGACTGAAACAGGTTTCCCTCAAGAATTTCCCTGTATTTAGCACCATCCATCATTCCTTCAATTCTGACCAGTTTTCCAGTCCCTGCCGATGAAAAACATCCCCACAATATGATGCTGCCACCACCATGTTTCACTGTGGGGATGGTGTTCTCGGGGTGATGAGAGGTGTTGGGTTTGCACCAGACATAGCGTTTTCCTTGATGGCCAAAAAGCTCAATTTTTGTCTCATCTGACCAGAGTACCTTCTTCCATATGTTTGGGGAGTCTCCCACATGCCTTTTGGCGAACACCAAACGTGTTTGCTTATTTTTGTCTTTAAGCAATCGCTTTTTTCTGGCCACTCTTCCATAAATCCCAGCACTGTGGAGTGTACGGCTTAAAATGGTCCTATGGACAGATACTCCAATCTCCACTGTGGAGCTTTGCAGCTCTTTCAGGGTTATCTTTGGTCTCTTTGTTGCCTCTCTGATTAATGCCCTCCTTGCCTGGTCCGTGAGTTTTGGTGGGCGGCCCTCTCCTGGCAGGTATGCTGTGGTGCCATATTCTTTCCATTTTTTAATAATGGATTTAATGGTGCTCCGTGGGATGTTCAAAGTTTCTGATATTTTTTTATAACCCAACCCTTCTCCACAACTTTGTCCCTGACCTGTTTGGAGAGCTCCTTGGTCTTCATGGTGCCGCTTGTTTGGTGGTACCCCTTGCTTAGTGGTGTTGCAGACTCTAATTTTTTGAAACAAGTTCTTTTTTTTCATTTCACTTCACCAATTTGGACTATTTTGTGTATGTCCATTACATGAAAGCGAAATTAAAATCAATTTAAATTACAGGTTGTAATGCAACAAAATAGGGAAAACGCCAAGGGGGATTAATACTTTTGCAAGGCACTGTATAAAATTATGTAATTTCCCACTTTTTTTGAGCATACAATACAGCTCAGTATTTGAATTATTTATTTTATACAGTCCTTATTGCTCATCTTTATCAAGAGTGTCAATCATTTCGGACCCCACTGTACACACTCTTTGCCCTGTCACGCCCTGGCTCTGGGGACTCTAGTATGTTGAGCCAGGGTGTGAGTTTTCATGTGTGTTGGTTCTAGTTGTTGTATATCTATGTTGGCCAGGGTGGCTCCCAATCAGAGACGGCTGTAGCTCGTTGTCTCTGATTGGGAGTCATACTTAGGTAGCCGTTAGGCATTCATTCATTGTGGTTTCTTGTTCGTGTTGGTTTGTGTTTGACCATTGACTGTCACGTCATCGTTTTGTTGTTTTTGATCGTGTGATCATTATATAAATAAATATGTTCGCATTCAACGCTGCGCCTTGGTCCTCCTCTGTTCCCGACGAGCGTGACAGAAGAAACCACCAAGACTGGACCAAGCAGCGTGTCCAGGAGCCATCGCCAGGGAGATCTCTAGCAGATCTCCTTCGCCTCCTCGACTGGGTCAAGCCGGGTGGGGAAGAGAAGGGCTTGACATGGAAGCAGAAGGGCGAAAGGCTGGCGAGGGACATGGAGACCTGGTCCACGGGTAGGAGAGACGCCCAGAATTTTTTTAGGGGGGGGGCCAACGCCGTGGACGACGGGCCAGCAGGAGACCGCGGCAGAGCGGCCCAGCGGGTTGGCAGAGGAGGCCGCCAGGTTACGGGGGCCACTGGTCGAAGAGGGGATGGAAGGTTTAGAGGCACGGCGAGAGGTACTGGGGTGTGTTACCAGTCCGGTCCGGCCCATTCCAGATCCCTGCGTAGGACCAGTGGTGTGTGTCCCCAGTACGGTCCGGCCTGTTCCTGCTCCCCGCACCAGGCCAATGGTGCGCGTCATCAGCCCGGCTCGGCCCGTTCCTGCTCCCCGCACCAAGTCAGTGGTGCGCTTCGTCAGCCCGGCTCGGCCCGTTCCTGCTCCCCGCACCAAGTCAGTGGTGCGCTTCGTCAGCCCGGCGCGGCCCGTTCCTGCTCCCCGCACCAAGTCAGTGGTGCGCTTCGTCAGCCCGGCGCGGCCCGTTCCTGCTCCCCGCACCAAGTCAGTGGTGCGCTTCGTCAGCCCGGCTCGGCCCGTTCCTGCTCCCCGCACCAAGTCAGTGGTGCGTTTCGTCAGCCCGGTTCGGCCCGCTCCTGCTCCCCGCACCAAGTCAGGGGTGCGTTTCGTCAGCCCGGCTCGGGCCGTTCCTGCTCCCCACACCAAGCCAGTGGTGTGCGTCGTCAGTCCGGCACAGCCCGTGCCTGTTCCACTAGTGCCTGGTTCAGCACGGGTCAGCTGCTTCACGCCGGAGCTAGAGCGATCCGCTCCACCAGTGTGCAGTCCAGCTCCGGTCAGCAGGGCCAGACCGGACCAGGGGTACTTTGGGGGGTTAGAGAGCGAGTGGGGATCATGCCCGGAGCCGGATCCGCCGCCAAGGCGGAGTGCCCACCCGGTCCCTCCCCTGTGGTATTTGGTTGGCGCGGTCGGAGTCCGCGCCTTTAGGGGGGGGGGTACTGTCACGCCCTGGCTCTGGGGACTCTAGTATGTTGAGCCAGGGTGTGAGTTTTCATGTGTGTTGGTTCTAGTTGTTGTATATCTATGTTGGCCAGGGTGGCTCCCAATCAGAGACGGCTGTAGCTCGTTGTCTCTGATTGGGAGTCATACTTAGGTAGCCGTTAGGCATTCATTCATTGTGGTTTCTTGTTCGTGTTGGTTTGTGTTTGACCATTGACTGTCACGTCATCGTTTTGTTGTTTTTGATCGTGTGATCATTATATAAATAAATATGTTCGCATTCAACGCTGCGCCTTGGTCCTCCTCTGTTCCCGACGAGCGTGACATGCCCCTGGGAAATCATATTTGTTTGCCAAATTGAAGCATAGGGAAAGCAGTTAGGAGCTTAGAAATGTCTCAGGGATTAACCTATTTACAAGGTTATCTTTTCCCTGAATATGCAGTAAATGTTTATTGCTGATTTATAAATGATCTATAAAATAACGCAGTTATATAGTTATTACTTTAATATAAAATGACAACACTGTATGT